GATTTCTCACTCTTTAGTGAAGATTATTGTTGTTTGGTGTTCCAAGTTATTACTTGATGATTGTGTGTACCTCTAATTGATTTATAGAAGATTCTTGGTGTACCCACTGATTTTCTTGGTGATTAGTGGAAGGCTTCGTGGTTTTCTCCCCGATTTGGGGTTTCCACGTTAAATCTTGGTGTTCGTTTATCGCTTGATTGATTGCTTGTCGTTGTTTTTGCTATTCTTGATTGGTCATATGATTTTGCCCATTTTGACAACACAAAGACGGGAAAATTATTTATTGCTTCCGCTAGAAAATTGAGGTGATTTTCCCAACACAAATGAGCCTAAAAGTGGGTAACATAATTCTTCTTAAAAAGATTAGGTGGCACTTAATCCTCAAAAGAAAAGATAAATTTCTTTTAAGTTAAATGAAAAAAGGAGTAAATTTACCTGGTGACAATATGTTTTCAATCTTAAACTATTTGTCCAGTATTTTTCAACACAATTAAATAAATATTAATTATCAATTAAATAAAAATTACATTACATACTAATAATAAAATAGTTCTTCGAAAAAAATCTCAAAAAAACATTTTTATATTCCACATTAAATAAACAATACAATTTTTATTTAATTATTGATCAACTTCATAAGCCAAGTGCACTGTTTTATAAAAATTTCTGTAAAAGTATGTGTTCTTTTTTACTATGAACGAGATAAATAGTAAGAAACCAGAACTTGGGTTTCTTTTTGGTTTTTAAATTTTCAATAAGAAATACTTCTTTTTCTTTTTTTCGTGTTTAGAATTTCACACAGTTTATTTTCTCTTATTTTCAAGAATTTTTTCTAATTGTAAACTCTCTTTATATTATTTCACTTTGTTATTTAAAAGTCTAAGATTCTAGTATTTTCAAACTCTCACATTATGACATACTTCGTATGTTTTATGTTTAAATTATATATGATTAGTCTTTAAATTGACAATAAGAAAATGAATTTAGAGTTTAAGAGAATTATAGTGTGCATAATATATATTGTTCGAAACGAGAATTAATAATGTCATTAAAAATATGGGTGATTATGAAGCATACATATATACATTATATATGCTTTTTTATTTTTAATTGATGCGTTAAGGTGCACCCGCACTCGTGCTTTTTATATTTTAGCGCTTTTCCGCACCCGCACTTGCACTCAAACTCGATTTCGCTCTAGGTGATCTAGCCTAAAAGTAGTCTACAAAAAAATGCAGTTAATTGAGAAACTTATTAGGATCAGCACCGTGTAAAGCAGTAGCCAGGCTTCCACGAGGGAGATATTGGAGAACAAGGTGTAAACCGTTATCAGCACTGAAACCAATTAACTTTGCAGCATTAGGGTGATTGATGTGAGCAATGATCCCTAGCTCTGCCAAGAAATCTCCAACTCTGTCCTCATCATTTTTATTTTGCTTTGTTATCCTCTTCACTGCGACAGTTTGTCCATCGCTAAAGCATCCCTTGTACACTTCCGCATGGCCCCCTTTCCCAATCAACTTATCTGCAACAAATAAGAATCAAGCCTTTACCTGTTTGGAGAATCTACTGAACTTTGTGAAAGGAAAAACACTTGGTAAAATTCATTTCAACCAAGTATGTAAAAAGTTACTTATTCTTCTCATTGGTAAACATGATTGACCAAATAATGCTACCAAATGAAGCTTTTATTTAATATCGTTGTGCATGCCTTTTGTTTTCCATTCAAGAAATTCCTAATAATGCACAGAAAATTCAAAACCAATTTATCCTTATCAGTCATGATAGTTCTTATTTTAATACCTGAGTTCTTAGCAGATACAGAGTATTTAATATAATATAATACTATAATTCATGAATATTTACTTTTGTGAATTTGAAAATGCATACACTCTTGTTTGTGTATTGCATGTTGGAGAGAAAAGTTTCAGCTACAAGATTTCTAACATACGTAGTTTTTGTTTTTTTTAATGATGCATTGATTTGTAGGTTCCCTTTTTTCATAGCTGGTGAGGGAAAGGAAACAGAGTGTGCTTCAAAGACAAAGTCAGAAATGTTTTCAAGACAAAATCCAAGGTCATGGATTAATCCCCTAGAAAAAAAAGTGCTTCCAAGGTTATGTTCCAAAGACAAGGAGACAAAATTATATCTTACCAGGACTAAAATTATCAGTGGCATCCGCGAGCTCGGGGAGACTAAAATTCTTCCAAGAAGGTTTAGGAATCAAGAAATCACCACAATCATCGGAGATGCGGTTGCTACCTGACAACTTCTTCCTGCTCTTCCTTGTGATCATCTCAACACCTCCAAGCAATGGGATGATTGAGATGCTCCTCGCAGATTTCCTCTTAATCGAACTGAATAGATTCTTCCATTGCATCGCATACGGGTCGAACAGCTGGTCCCTCAGGCCCCCACCTGGAGAGTAGGCTGCCTCTGGCTTGTCTTCCTCAAAACTTCCGGTCCCCTCGGTGCTGCTATTATCAGAATCGGACGAACCCGACAAAGGGATCTCCAAAACTCCCCTGGGGGACAACCCAATGCCTTCGCTGTCACCATCTTTCTTCCCTTGATCTTCTTCAGAAAACTCAATCCCTTTTATCTCAGCTCTCATGGGAATTTCGACAAGCACCTCACCTGCATATGAATTCAAACACATTCTTGTACAACAACAAGAAGAATAAATTTGTGATTATCCTAAATGCGAACCCAATGCACGGAATAGAAATCTTACAGCCTTCCATGGTCATTGTGAAGGGCCCAAAAGTCAGATAACAATGCGTAGATATGGCCTTAAGGGGTGAGTGAAAATGAATAAGTGGATGATTTCATGAAACACATTTGAGCATCTGGAAACTCCTCCCTCCCCTGTTCTTGAAGGAAAAAAAAACAGAGAAACAGAGAAGGGAAGGGATGTTAGAGAAATGGCGCTACGTTTGCTTCAAGATTGAGAATGAAACTATTGTTAGAAGGCAGAAAGAAAGAGAGAGAGGGGGAGAGAAAACCGGATTTCAATTCTGGCATTTATATCCTCCGATATATCATACAATAATGTGTGTGAATGAATTCCAAAATTATGGGGCGTGAACTTGTGATCAAGAAATCTTGTCCTTATGTTTAGGAATATATATATATATATATATATATATATATATATATATATATATATATATATATATATTCCGTATGTTTTAACTACCAAATATAATATTTTTAATAGTAGATACAATAAATGAATAAAATATGTAATTTTTAAACTAATTCTTATGATATTGTTTTGAAATAAAAATTATAATTTTAATAATGATGCAAATGTATTATATTTAATATAAATCTATATTTTAAAATAGAATAAAAAAGGAAAATGGTGTAAAAATTCATAGAGAGTGTTTCCTTTTAAAAATTTAATAAAGTTTATATAATCTTTGAAAAAAGTACTCTGTAATTTGTTGAAACACAGGCTTGTCACGTTTTTGTACTAAAGCCGTATTTGTTTTTATGACAGATTTTGATAATGTCAAGCCGCTGTGATCAAGACACAAATTGAATATACAAGGCGAAGAACGAAGATAAGAACAAGAGCTAAACGAAGACCATAGTCTTAGTATCGTTGAGTCGGTCTTTATTGTGATCAAGACCGACCCAATCTTTACACCTTGACTCTTTAGGCTAAAATCTTTTCATTGCATGTCTTACATCATAAAAATGTTTTTCAAACATGTTTAAGTCATCAAAAACACTTGGTGTTCGCCCAAACCAAAAACCGAGCCATCTGGCGTTCGGCTTTCAGAAACCGGCGTTCGGCATTCGGTTATCGGCATTGGTTTTTGGTGTCCGAACCAACCAAGTGGTTTTCAACATCTTATGATTGGTTTTCACTCCTTGGCATGTTTAAACAGTTCTCCAACAAAAACACTTTGAAAACCACCTTTCGCTTTTGGTCGTTTGGCAAAAACCACGCAAAACGGCATAAACTTGGCTAGCCGTGGTTTTTACTCAAATGACGTGGTTTTTAAGGTGTCTCACTTGATTTCTTAGCCAAATACATCAAATAAGTGTTTTAAACACTTGGTTTTTATTTTGGAGAACTTTGGATTTTTCGGTCGGATTTTGCATCGGTTGGCTAGACCGTGGTTCAGGCAAAAACCATGGGTTTTTGACTAACCATCCACCCAGGAATGGGAGGAACTACCCATCGATGGGTAAGCGGTTCTTTAGCCAAACCAACTTCCAGAACCATGCCAAACAGCGATGGGAAGTTCTACCCATCGCTGTTAAAGCCTTGGTCCAACATCAACACAAAGGCAGAACAACCTTACCCAGTGATGGGGACTTTACCCCATCGATGGGAACCCAGCGATGGGAAAGCTAAACCATCGATGGAAATTCATGACCGTTGTAAGTCATTTAAGGTTGATTCTTTCCTTGTTTGGAAGTCAACCTCCCACCCAGCGATGAGAAGCTTGTACCCATCGATGGGTAGGTGACCGTTGGCTTCAAAACTGAAGGAAAATTGGCCTACCAGCGATGTATGGACCTATCCTGCAGAACTGAAGGAAGCCAATATCCTGCAGATCCCAAATTTATTCAATCCCATAAATCAAGCCAATCACCCCTTTAATGTATTGGTCCGTTGGAGCCTATTTTGGCACTATAAAAAGGGGTGTTTGGGTCTGCTTTTCTCATCAATTCACTTCACAATTCTCCTACTTTCATTGCATTCAAACAACATTCTTTTCATAGCTTGTTAGAGCCAATTCGTGTGAAGTTTGAGTTGTTCTTGAGCGCATTTAGTTTAATCAATATCTACTCTAAAAGAGAGTCTCGTTCTTGAGTATATTTGTGTTCTAAGACACGTTGAGAGAAAGTATTTCTCTCGTTTGATTCGAAGGAAGGGCTGTTTCCTTCGAAGGTTTCGTTGAGGTTCGTGTGACTCAAATTCTCAAGTTGTAAGGGTTTGTTAAGCACTGTTAAGCTTAACGAGATAATAGTGTAGCTCGAGAGAGTCTCTCGGGAGGCTGGATTAGCCACAAGTTGTGGTGAACCAGGGTAAATTCGGTGTGCCTCTTACTCTTCTTTTTACTTCTCTTTTAAATTTTTAATTTCTGCGATTTTTACGATCAAACGTTATTCACCCCTCTCTAGCGTTGGTCTTTCATTCTAACATAATTAATTAGTAAGACCTTAAAATGTATTTTAAAATGATGAAAGACATATCAGTACAAGAATTAGAAGATGAAACATTTTATATATACAAATTTTTTGTAAATAAATACAATAATCATGAATAAATTTTTAAATAAAAAATATTCCAATAAATGTCATGTTGACCAATAAAATAATGACATTATGCTATGTGGATAAAACAATTTGCCATGTTATATGCAACATGTCTTCAGTGCAATTAAAGAACTCTCTTTTACACACACACACAGACATATATATATATATATATATATATATATATATATATACATACATACATACATACATACATACATACATACATACATACATACATACATACATACATACATACATACATACATACATACATACATACATACATACATACATACATACATATATATATATATATATATATTATATGTGTGTGTAAAGGATTTTTCTCTGCATTATCAATTTTTATATCACATCATTTTTTCTTTTATTTTTTTCACCACACAGTGACCATTTTTCTCCTTTTTATTGTTTCAAAATATTTATCTTATTATCAAGTTTCAACCAATAAAATGTAATGTAACATTTTACATCTAATACAAAAATTCCTCTTCAAAAGTATTTTATTCTCCTTCCAACCTCGCTCACCCCCTTTCACTTTCCCCTAGGGGTGGGCACAGATTGGTTATGTCATGTTTTCTTCAAACGATTTGAAATGGTTATGGCTACAAGCTTATTCTTCTTTATTCTTTAATATTTGGAGATGAGACAAAAAGGAACATGTTCGGGTTGTTTTGCTTTGTCATTGTCGAAGTTAGATAAAAAAAATGTAAAATACATAAGAGGAAGGCAACCAACTTTGATTTGCATGGTTATGAAAATAATGAAGTATTGTTTAGAATATCTTAGAAAAGCCAAAAACAATAAGACCACATGTAAAAATGCTATAACATCCGTCAAAAGTCAAAGCTACAAGCTTCATAAAAACTTTGAATCATAAATTGAGGTGGACACGAGTTGGAACATTCTGGGTTTTTTGGTGTTGCAATCCTAGTCCAGTTGTTAAACTATTTGAATCTAGATATTTTTTAAATCTATCCTCGAAAAAATAAAAAACTATGATTTTTTTGTATTATACTATCACACACACACACATGGGACCACAACATGAAACGAGAAAATATTTATGTGTCTCAGTCCCGACCCAATTAAGAACAGTTAGGAATGGATTCAATAAAAAAAATTTCATCCCAAACAAAACGGAACATTATAGGGACGGTACCAGGATATTTCAAGTTCGGACAACGGGATCGAGATTTTTGCCCACCCGTACTTTCCCCTCCCTCTGTAACCATGTACATTATCATATAAGCTATTCCCTTCCATATTCAACTCCATTAGTGATACTCTTATAGAGTTTCCATATGCACTCTTGGTTCCAAGTCATATTTTCCATAAAATAGAAAAGTCCATCAAGAGGCTCTTGGCCGAGCAGGTATGCTCGGCTTGGCATGGGCTCGACCCCACCCTCTTTCCGTTTGGGCCACCCGGGTGGACTTGACGCAAATTCTCCTACGCCCATCTGTTTACGTATTGTGGGTAAATAGGGCTCCAAAGACATGAGTAGAGTTGTTCTTTTGTGGTCTTAAGATCAACATGTGAAATGCGAACCTTTTTATACTTTTCATGGACTAAAAACTGGATCTTTTCTTTTTAGTAGTATACTCAATTCTCTTATGATATCAATGCACTAAGATTTATAAAATGAGTATGGACTTAAAACCACATAAGGATTTGCCACATGAGTAATGTATAAATATATATCCTGACATTCTTGGTCGTAAGCCATGCAATCTTTGAAACCCTAATAATACACCTAACATTTCACTATTTCATTGTGTTGTACAGTTTGGAGATCCATCATGACATATAGGGGTGGACAAGAATCCCAAAACCATAGTCTCGATCTGAATTATCCCGGACCCGTTCCTATTATGTTTTGTTTTGTTAGGGATGACAAATTTTTGTCCCAAACCTGTTTTGAACCATTTTATAATGGGACAGGGCCAGGACACATGAATATTTTCTCATTCCATCTCATTGTCTCGTATATAAAGCCGATCAATGGCTCGGGTATCTGACCCGGTCCAATGGGCCCGTCCGAAAAATGTGGGCTTGGGCTTGAGTTTTAGCATTCGGGCCTGCTCTGCCTGTAAATTATGAGTACCCGCAAGTGTTGCGGGCTGGGTATGGGTTGTGTTGTTAAAGCACGCGAGCGGTCCGGCCCTATCCTATAAATAATATGAAAATATATAAATAATACGTAGTTGTTGGAGTAGTATAAAATATATACCCTTTTATACGGAATATGATTACTTAAAAATATATACAAAATATTATTCATTAGTCTTTTTACTCATGTGTTTACTAAAATTTTAATGCAAAGTATGTACTCTAGTTTATACTCCGTGATATATATACACCGTGCCATTTTTTTTGTTTGCTAAAATTTACACACAGTATATACTAATGTATAATATGTTTTCTTCAAAATATAGTGTTAAGTTTTTTATATGTTCATAATTTATTATTAATGCGAGCTCGGTTGGCCCGAAATTGTGCATATTCACGTGGGCCTGACTTGGGTTTCATTTTTAGGCCCGATATGCGGGCCGGACCGGGCTCGAGCCTTAAAAACTCTTATAATGAATCCTCTCGGCCCAGCCCGAAACACGGCCCGACCCATATATTGATCAGGTCTACTCGTATATATGTATATGTTTATTTATTTATTATTATAATGATATAACACAAAACAAGTATCACAATTTTTGTTTTTCCCAAAGTAGATATAAAAAATATCCATATTCGAATATTCTAAAAAAATGAACTAGGACCGGAACACCTAAAAATCTTGACCGTTCTAATATGGCCCACCCCAATTTGTTGTTCATAGATTTTATGAAACTTATAGTCTTGACTTTTGACGTATATATGTTGTAAGATTTTTTTCATGTTTTCTTATTCTTTTGGATTTTTAAAAAAATTCTAAATAAATTTATCATTTTTAATTACTTTACGAGCCAAAGTGAGTTACCCACGTACCTCCCCCTTATGTATTTTATATTTTTATATCTAATTTCGTATAATAACAAAGTAGGACAACCCGAAACCGTTCTATATATCCTGATCCCAAATATTAAGGAACAAAGAAAGATAAGCTTGTAACCCGAAATGTTCCAAACTGTTTAAAAAAACCAAGACAAAATGCGAGACGATAAAAAATTCGAACCGTCCCGACCTGTGCCCATCCGTGATGGCATATATATCAGCATATGCTCTCAGTGGCAAATTTTGGAATTTGCTAGGCATCATTGATCGGAGGTCCAAAGACAGTGCCACCAAATTTTTTTGGTAGATCATAGTATTTGAAATTATACAAAATAATGAATTTTATTGTAAATATTAATTGATTATATGTAAGAAAATGCACTTTACTAAAAAAACTTAACAAAAGTTTGAATTTGACGTAATTAGACGGAGTCACATTAATTTTTTTTGGAGCACTTATACATAAAATTTTAAAGAAAAAAGTTTTTTAATCTTATTACAAAAAATTAGTTGGGGACATTTACCTCCTACTCTATAGAAGTGGATCCACCACTGTATTACAAACACGAACTATAACGAATACTCTATAATAATTAGTGATTAACACACCTTGAGCATAATTTTTTAGTCTAGCTCACTCAAATAAAGACTATCGGTCTAGATCTTTTTCAATTTGTCATTTTTAAATTGAATATTTTAGCTTCAATCTCATTTCTCATTAGAAATCCAAATGCATTGTCAAGTTGTTCTTCACCATAACCTCATTGAGCCATCAATTTCACAAATATTTCTTGATCATCCACTTTGTTGAACTTTGAAATAGCCATTGTAACATTTCCAATTTCAGCAATAAATAGATCTACTTTCCTCTTGCGCGTAGCTCTTTGTGATGAGGCAATAATGGATTAAAAAATCCTCCTTCTAGCCTCTCCAAAACTTTGGTTAGGTAATGTTTTTGTAATCATGTTTGCAACCTTTGATTTATCCATTAATCCCAAGCTTGATTTGATTTATCCATTAATCCTCCTTCTTGATTTGATTTATCCATTAATCCCAAGCTTCTCAGTCCCATGTACACCAGCCCAGTNCAAGGCGGGAGTGTGGGGTGGGTTCGAGAAAGCGGAGGAGGTTTTGGGGATTAAGGGCGAGAATCACTTTTTTGTGCAACGGAAAATTAATGTTTTGTTTTGTAATAGTCTAATGAGTGAATGCCATCATTGAAGCATTTAGATGTTGAGAACGATGTATAAATGACTTTTTAGGATGGTGTTCATGTTTGAGCATCTAATGATGGATGCTATCACTATGAGCGCTTTAAATGTTAATAAAAATTTTATAGTGTGTCTAAGTAACCCTTTAATTAAAAGTGAGTATGACAATATAAATTTAGTGTGAAAACAAGGAGTATGTGTGGATTAAATTAATGAGTGCCAATTAAAAATGATAGTATTAATTGAGAGAACAATTTGAATAAGAATAAGAAGTATAAAAATATCAAAATAAGTCATGAATCTTTTACAAGGGGACATCGGGGCAAGGGGGTGCATGAAGCAAATAATAATTTGAGAATTAGAGGCTAAGAATCAAATTCGGGCGCAACAAAGTATCGTATGATTGTAGGTAGGTGTATTGTTATAACATTGATATAAAAATACATTTTTTTTAAAATCCATATTTGTAGAATTAGGGAGGGACACGGGTCGAACTTGCCCCTTGACATGAGTGATAGAGAGTAATGATGTCATCTGGATATATTCGTTCCGATTTGATCCGGTTTTTCGGATAATCGAATTTTTCGAATTGGTAAATATCTATTCCATGTCCGATTTGAAAATTACCGGATACCCGAATTTCGGCATCTTAAATTTTGGATCGGATCAATGGAATATCTGGAAAAATATATATTTGTTAAAATATATATTTTTATTTTTTCCAATAATTCTAAAATAGTATTCAGAATGATTTTTTATTTGTTAAAATAGTAAAGATCATAAATTAGACTTGAATTTGAAGTCAATTATATTTTAAATGTCATAGTTACCTTGATAGTGTTATCATAAATCATAATTTTAATAAATGTATGAAAAAAGTATCGACATATTGAAAAATAAAACATACACAAAAAGACAAAAGTAAAAAACTTGAATTAAGCTTAGATTTAAATATTTATGATGATGAAAATGATTTAGACTTGAGTTCTTTAAGCTTTATTTTTATATTTATTTTTTTAAAAATATGACTTTGGATATCCACGGATATCCAAAATCTTAATATGTAATTCCATATCCAATCTGATTTTTTTTGGAAATCTGATTCGAAATATCCGAAAGCTAAAATATCAGACCGGATATCCATTTTTCGGATTGACCCAGATCGTGGACGGATATTTTGGACTAGATATTTTTGAACACCCCTAGTAGACTGTCCACTCTCCAAGATTCATGGAAAAGTTACCTAGATTCGAGTCCTGGTGGAAGCTAAGCAGAGGTATTGGTTTACTATTCCTCATCAAGTTGAGAAAATATGAATATACTATATTATAATTGAGTCAATAACACTATAAAATGGAAGGTATGAGTGATAATGTATGGTCCGAGTTTTTAGTTCTCCTGATCGTAGTCTCGTTTTTTAGAAACATGTCAGGATGGTCGAGAACATAGCGTTGTCCTACTTTGTCCCATTTATCTCGGGATTGAAAAATTTTGGAACAGTTTGGAACATCATAATTCAAACATTTTGTATATATCTAATAAAAATTAATTCTTAACTCGTAAAAATAATTCAAATATTTGAATAAATAGATACAGAGCATATACATACATTCAAGACAACGAGACAGAGCTGGAATATAATTATATTCTCTTTGTCTCACTCTCTTTGTCCAGTTACATTCTGGCATGAAGGAAAGGGCTAAAATACCCTTTGCCAATACTATTGAAAATAGGGGTAAGCGATGTGGGTTGGGTATTGTGAAAGAGTTAAACTTCTTTCTACTTCATTCGCTGATGAACCTCTTGTGTTGAAAGAAATTACTATATATCTAATTCCTTTGGTTAAATTAGTTTTCTCCTTTGTCCCCTTCTTCGTCGCTGTTAGATTTATTCAGGTTCTGGTCAGATATATTCTTCTTCTTCGTTGCTGCGCTGCCGCTGCCGATCAGGTTTATTCGTATCTCCTTCGTTACCATCTTCTTCATCGCCTTCTTTGGTAAGATCTCTTCATGTCTATTTTTCAATGCCGCCGATCAGATCTAGCACATCACCATACGTTTAATCTCTTCGGGTTAGACGGTTCTTGTCTCATTTATCTCCTTCTTTGTCGCTAGCGCAATCATCATTGTCATCATCTTCTTTCTTGCCGGTGTTTGGTCATATCTCCTCGGGAGTCTTGACTATGGATCGGGTTAGATCTCCATGCAACTCTGGTACAACCCTGCTTTTTCGTCAGCATCATTGTCCCCTTCTTCGTCGCCAACATTGACCCTTTCTTCAGTGCATCATCGCCACTTCTAGGTGTGTGGTTGGAGAGATATTTGTGGAAAAGAAACACAGAAGTGTTTAAATTTGAGCATAGGGTAAAATGGACATTTGAACAATTTGTTTTTATTAAAAAAGAAAGTGTATAAAAACTAGGGATGGGCACGGGCCGGTCCGAGCCAAGATTTGTATAAACTAGACTCGGCTTGTTTTTATTAAAACGGTCCGGGCCGAAATGAGTTTTCAAAATTTTAAAATTGAAATCGGACTGAACTCGCCTGGTTTGAAATGGGCCAATTACACGGGTCAACGGGTCCGAACCTATCATGATACTAATATTAAAAAATAAAGTGATAGTAAATTAATAATACACACATGGTCATTCACCATAAGTCCACAACAATGTACTACCCCCATTGTCAATTTTAAGTCATTCAACATAAAAAAGAGGCCTAGATGAAGACAAAACAATGACAAAGAGGGGTAAGGGCGTAACTCGTAAGGGCGTTGTTCCCGATATAATTACTAATAATAATACGGAGTATTAAAAAGCGTTTCAGTTCGGGTCTTGGATACTTTCAAAATGGAGAACCAGATCGACCCTAAAATATATAAGGACCGGACCTACCCGACCCGTTATAAATATTTGAAAAGAGGACCCGTTTGCCCACCTCTAATAAAAACCATGAAACAATTAAAAAAGGAAAAGTGAAAAAAAAAACGGGTTTCGTTCCATTTTTAAAGGGTTTGTAAGAAGTTTCCAAAAAAAATTCCGTCTATTTCAAACAAAACAAACGCCTTGTTTGGAAGGAGCTTTTTCAATTAGCATTAGCGTTTTGGATAAAATATTAACGGTGTAGATTAAATTGGAAAACGCTAACGCTAAAGACTACCATCAGATAGCTTTTTCAAAACGCTAACGCTAATCTCGAACGCTGATGCTAAACGGGACCAAAACGTTCTTAAGAACTGATCTATATTTTGGATGGAGAAAATGGATCTAGATTCTTGCCCACCTAGACATATGCAAGTCATTTGAAGCAAACGCACCCGAGAACGTGAATTCGGAGAGAGGGCTGAGAGTATGACTGCCTTACTCGGCGACGATGGGCGGGGCTATGAGCTGGCTCGGAAGCTGGAGAATCACGGCGTCTGGCGCTCATGGCTCGGTGATTCACTCTACCCCACCTTCATTCATTTCCTTTCTTCGCCGGCTACATGGGATGCCTTCATGCGAGCCGATGACTCCAAAACTAGGGCTCAAATCCAGCTCCAGCTCCGCGCTCGAGCTCTGCTCTTTGACAAAGCATCAGTATCTCTCTTCCTTCGCTCCGATCAATCTTCTTCTTCTTCTTCTTCCGCAATTTCTAAGCTCAATCCAAATTGTAATCCCACTCTCTCTGTGCTCGCGCTTATTTATGTTTGTAGATATGTCGAATTTAGTCAAATATCTTGATGTATTTCCTCTTTTCACACTCTTCATGTGGAAATAATTGCTGATATGGTCAGTTTGGGGTGTTGATAGATTTGCAATTACACGGAGATGATGTATACTTCACCCTGGATAGTTGTTCACAAGATGCTGCTGGTGCTACTACAAGTTCTATGTCATCAGAGGTTGGATTTTGTTTTGATTTGCATTGCTGCATACTAGTCACTCATTTATGTTTCTTTTTTCCTTTTTATTTGAAGTTAATTCTCACGTAATTCAATGTGTTGCGAGAGGTTTCAATTTTGAAGTAGTGAATTGGATTACTTGAATTTGACAGAAGTATTATGATGTTTCAAATGCAAAGCAATTTGTCTCTCACACTATATGAACTTTGTGTTTACGGGATAATAACAATAAGTTTACTGAGCTCTTTTGCCTTGATGACATTATTTTCCTGACGTGTTTATTAAAAACACAATTTTTTGCAAATTTCAGAATCTAGTAAATTCATTAATGATCTTAAGTTTATCCACTTATTTAAAGTTAGATTTGGAGCAAATGCATGATAGAGTACCTCAATACATTATGGCGGGTGTTAATAAAGAAAGGGATGTCTAAAAAGTATATAATCTTCTTTAGGGATATATATATATATATGATGGAGTAAACACAAATGTAAGAAGCAGGGCACAGATCACAATGGAGTCTTCTTACTAATCGAGTACAACAAGGATTGGTTTAAGTCCATTCCTTTTTGGGATGTTTATGGTTGAGCCAACTAAGGCTATGCATGATGGTTTACCTTGGTGTGTTGTTTGCCAATGATATTATTTAGAGGTGCTGAGGAAGATGGCCTAAAGGCTTGAAATTCAGTAAAAGTAAAACAACATATATGGAATGCATGTTTAGTAAAGACAAAAACACACAATGGGGTTTTGTGGCTATAGAAGATTAAATACAACAGTCAGTGATCTTTTTAGGTATTTGGGTTCTATTATTCAAAAAGATGGAGAGTTGGATGGAGATCATGAACATCTCCGAGTTGGTTGAAGTGGAGTAGTGCAACTAGAGTTCCGTGTAACCGTGATATACCTCTGAAGCTAAAGGGAAAGTTCTAAAGGATATCAATTTGATAAATGTTGTCATATGGTGCAAAATGTTGGGTTGCTAAAGAGTGTCATAATATAAAAGCGAAGGTAACTGCTATGTGTATGTTATGATGGATTTGTGGGCACATTAGAATGGATAAAAAGTAATGAAATCATGCAAAAGAAGGTAGAAGTCACATTCGAAGATCAATTTAGGGAGAATCGATTGTGGTGGTTTGGACATGTACAAAGAAGACATAGTGGTGCCGAAGACTTGAGGGGTGGAGAACTATGCAAAATAAGAAGGGGAGACTATTTGACATGGTAGGAGCTTATTAGGAGCAGTTTGTCTTATCTGAATTTGGACAAGAGTATGGTAATGGAGGAAATCTGTTGTTGGCTTGTTGCAACCTATGCAGCCTGTTGTTATGGCATTTGGAAATCCAGAAATGCTAAAATCCATACAGGCTAAGGAATGAATGTGCAGGAGTGCTGAGACTGGATCGAAGTCCATGTTAACATTTTCCTCAAGGGGAAGATTTAGTTGTTGCTTTATGTTTGGGCTCTGTTGAGCTTTATTTAGTTGTTGGTTTTTGTGAGCAGTTTTTTTTGGTGTTGTTTCACTTTTGATACTTTGTAACTTGTGAGGTTGTTTGATGAATATATGCGCTTTTGGTTCAAAAAATAAATAAAAAGAGTATGGTAGTAGATAGAAAGAAATGGCGAGAGAACACCCGTTTTTAATGATCGGATGTGATTCTCCTCTTGGTTCATGTAGCTGACTTCAAGTTACTTGGGATACAAGGCTTAGTTGTTTTGTGTTGTACTTAAAATTTGATAAAAATTCTAGCTATAATTTCATTTTGATCGAAGTAAGCTTCTAAGCATGGCACATTGGCAATAAACTTGAGGTAAATGTGATTAAGTCTCGATATTGGTGATAAACTTGTGGTAAATGTGATTAAATCTTTTTGAACTAATTAAATAGCATGGTCTTGACAAAATTCTGAAATCTCCCTTTGTGCAAGTCTCGATTGGTTTTTGAATGGATAATAAGGAAACAAGTTATTCGTGAGCAACTTCCTATTGTTGTTTTGTCATAGGAGGGTATTCGTTATAAAACATTGTGCAAAACTTGCAAATAAGTCTGTATGTCAAATCATAAAAAGTTCAATTTGTAATTGTAATGAAGTATTGAAATAAAAAGTTGATATTACTGTTGGACAACCCAAAATTTAGATGGACCATCATATGATCAATTCTAAAATTTGCAAACATTGGAACAATACGGTAATTTAGGGCCACGGGGCTAGAAATTGAGAAAGCATTATTGTATATTTGTAGTGAAAGAGGAAGGAAAGAGAATACATCTTGGATCCTCTAGCAATAAATGTGTCACCTGCTTAAATGTATTAATATGCTGCTTCTTGTTCAAGTATTTCCTTAAAATTTGGAACTTGATCATAAAGCTCTATGTAAAGGACATACATTTTATCTGTTTTTAACATTTGATTAGTTAAATATAGTATGTGCACCAATTTTTTGTCTTAACTTTTGAAGATAAAGTTTCTTGACACAATGCAAGCATATGCTACTCTGTTTGATTTTGTATCACCAAACAAGAGTTGCTTTAGTAGTAAAATATTGTTGCTTAAATGCTTTCAGGTTCAACCTAGATCAACTTTTGGTATTGGATCAAAATATGAGTCAGAAATGGATTCTACATCCCAGTGGTTTAAGGCTGAGGATTTACCGGTAACTTGGTATGATCAGTTCATTGATAAATACAAAGCACACAAACCATACAAGTTATCATTTGGGGATAGGGAAGCAGAAAAAAGGACACCAGAGCTGATGGCTGCTTATCTTAGAGCTGTTGAGAATCATAAGAGGAGGAGGATAGCTTTTAGAGGAGATCAGCAATCAAACTTGGGGTTGGATGGAAGTACTGTACTTGATCATGATGGATCATTTTTTCCTGAAATAATGTTTACCTTGAATTGTGTTCCTGATAATGCAGTATTGCAATCAAGTGAAGTTCAGGAAACCAAGAAACTGGAGTTTAAAGGCATCCTGGATACATTACCCCAAATAATGACAAAGAGTCCTATTATGATTGAGAGGCTTGGCATCAAGCCTGAGTACCTTAGTGTGGGACAAGGAGGGAATCAAAGTCGTGGAAAGAATGGGTTTGAAGGGAGCAAGAGAGTGCTTGGGGTAGAGCAAGCATTAAAGGTATCCCAAAAAGTGGTAGCTCGGACACTAGCAAATATTGGATTTGAAGCTTCATCACAAGCCCCATTAGAAGTTATGGGTCAATTGCTAAGTTGCCATATTTCTAAATTGGGGCGTATCTTAAAACTCCTTGCCGATAGCTATAGAAAACAGTGTCCAGCCATTGATCTACTAAAGATGTTCCTTCAAACAGCTGGACACAGGTTAGTTTAAGTGTGCAATGCCTTGGCCATTAATGGTCATTAGATCGATCTTAGAGAGTTGCTCATTGCTAATGGAGCTAAACAAAAACAACAAATTAAACTTTTTTTGCTAGTTGCATCTTACTTTATATGACATTTTGGAAAGTAAATGCATCAAGGGTCTAACGGACACATCCTCTCCGATATACATAGATAAGATTGCATTCATCTTGACCCCTCGGACCCCAATGTAGTGATACGGACTGATTTCATTGTCCCACACCGGTTAAATGGGGAACTTGGTGATGGGTTTATATAGCCAAGGGTTCTCCCACCTTAACAGCTAGCTTTTAGGGTGTGGCTCTCCCTTGTGCTGTATCAATGGTATCAGAGCCAACTCGGAGTGGTGGCCTACGGAGTGGTGACCCACGGAGTGGTGGCCTGGTGAAACTAGCCGTGACCAACGTGGCCGTGACCAACGTAGCCGTGACCAACGAGGACGTTGGGCCTTATGGGGGGTCGAATGATACGGATTGATTTCATTGTCCCACACCGGTTAAATGGGGAACTTGGTGATGGGTTTATATTGCCAAGGGTTCTCCCACCTTAACAGCTAGCTTTTAGGGTGTGGCTCTCCCTTGTGCTGTATCATGTAGTTGGGATTATACTGGGTTTGTTGTTCTAGATTGCGCTTAGATGTCATGTTCACCAACTAACCTTTACATAAAATAATCCAAATTTAAACAAATTAACTTTATCAAACTCAAACATCATGTGTTTGTTATGGATCGAGGATTTAATATTTAATTAGTTTTTATTACTATTAATAGTTTCCTATAATTAATTATTATTAGTTTCCTATTACTACTATCATTATCTTCTTTTTATTATTAGGAATATTAGTAGTTTCCTATTAGTATTTATATTCTATTTTAGTTAATAGAATAAATAAGGATTTATGTTTTCTAGTATGATTATGTTAGGACTCTCGTAAGGCTTTTGCCTATTTATCCTCGCACAATTATTAATAAAATTATCATCTTTGAGGCAATTAAACAATTCTTCTTAATTATTTACGGGACTATAGGATCTGAAGTTCTTCCTCTTCTGGTCATTGGCATGAGAGGGGCTCTTCATCTATCTTAGGGATCTCTTTGGATCCCTAACAGTTTGGCATCAGAGCAAGGAAAACCCATGGCACTTTTTGAATCCAACGAATTGACCATCCATCATGGCAGCCACCGCCACCAAGCTTGCTTCCATCATCGATAGAATCGTAGGCCCAGAGGTGAACTACAAGTTGCCGACGACTGAGGTCACCAACATTAAGAACGGGTTCATTTGCATGCTATAGTATAGCATGACATCGAGGGGTCAGCTGATATTTCCGGTTACCACGATGGCAATATCTACAAGTCGACAGATTTCTGCAGCCCTTGCAGGAGTTTTGTGACCTCAATTTGCTAAGATAGAATTTCCAACCTTTCTTTGAACTTTTTATCAGATATGCACTTTGAGAAGTTTTTTCCCACAAGTTTGTATTGTTTCCTTATCTCGATGACACCAAATTTTGGTTGGACAAAAAATCTTAAAAGAACTTTGCGCTGACCATTTCGGGCCACACTTGGATAGGGTCCTGGTGGGAAAATTGAGGCTGTTGATACAAACAGGGACTGTTGAAAGTAGTTATTTTCATTGCGGTCCTAGTTGATTATAGGGCAGACTAGAGGAAGACTCACCGAAAGGGTTGCAAAGATTGCTTCTCCCTTGAGCTTGTGGACAAGCTCAAGTTTGAGGAAGGGAGTATTGTCATGGATCTAGGATTTAATATTTAATTTTTTATTTCTATTAACTTATACCATAGTAATTTATTATTGTTATTAGTTTCCTATCATTACTATTTTTTATTAGCTCCCTATTACTCCCTTTGTACCAGAGTATTCGTCACTTTTTCAAATCAAAGGGGACAACCTTTAATCATTAATTACTTTGAATTTACATTGCATATTATTACAATGAACTAAATTTTTTATAGTTTTCCGCAAGATAAATCTAATGAAATCATTTTCGTACTAATATCCAATATAATTTCCATTAAGTTGAATTTGCATTGCATATCAATACAATGAAATTAATTTTCGATAGTTTTCCGCAAGATAAATCTAATGAAATTATTTTCGTACTAATATCCAATATAATTTTCATCATCTCCGATGGAGCCAAAGAGTCACTATAGAATAAAGAAAAATGAATCTTTAAACGGTTTGAGCTTCTTTTAATAGTGATGTAACAATTAGTCAATGCAACTTTCAATGCTCATCATGGGTCATCCGGAAACAACCAATGTTTGAAATGGCAAAACCTAAACCCGCCTCATGGCGCGCCATAGACTTTTTCCGGAAATTACTGCTCTGGTGCGTATCCCAATTCACGCAATAAGCCATTTTAAGCAATTGGTGTAAAGGCTTACGCCACGTGGCGTACGCACCGGCGCGTGCAATGAGATGTATGCCATTTACTGTCTCAAAATTAGAAAATCAAAGGTTAAAGTTGTCAATTAGCCAAATTAAGTGTATATACTTTTGAAATTACCTTGTCGATGACCTTAATTGCGACCCTAATTGCTGCGATTACCAATTGCGATTCATCTTCTCTATCGCGTTGGCTGTCTCTGCTTCTCTCTTTTCTGTAATACCCCTATTTGAGAATAAATTGATTGAGAAAAGAAAAGGCTCAAAAGGATTGATAGTACTACTCATATCAACAAGGTGCATCTTCTTTTCTAGAGCTCATCACCTAGAAACTCCAAGGTTAAGCGTGCTTGACCTAGAGCAATTCTTGGATGGGTGACCTTCTGAGAAGTATTCTTAGGCGCACATGAGTGAGGACAAAGTGTGCGGGAAAGACTTGTGTTGGTTTGTGGGGCCTATGAGCGGACGCTTACGGCCAGGGTGGGGCTGGGGTGTTACATTTTCCGTCTCCTTCATCCCGATTCAGCAGCTATACGATTTCTTGTTTTTTTCCGGCAAATGGTATACGACTAGATGGCTTATGGATGGAGAATTTATGGAGTATTAAAATTATTTTTCTTGCTAACTTTATTCTGGAGGTTTTAATTGGTGTTTTTTTCTTGCTTACGGTTGTATGGAGTATTAATTTTTTCTTGCTTACGGATGGAGGTTTTAATTGGCGTTTTTTTGTTTTTATGATATGTTTTTGCATAGTATTGCATTACATTTATTTAGGTATCTCGGAATATTGCTAAAATGTCTGGAAATATTTTTCATGCTTTGTTGTGCTTGAGATGTATTACTTTGACAATATACTATTTTAATGTTTCTAGATTATTTATGTTATACATTATGTTCTATCTTCAGTTTTTTAAATTTTTATGGACATTTTTCAAATTAAAATTGAGGCTTACGCCTCAAAATGCCTTGAGGCTTATGCAATACGCCATGTAAAAGAATGCCTTGAAACTGCAATACGCCATTTCGAACACTGGATACAACCACTCTATCTTTAAAACATAGGGGTTAGGCTACGTACGAGATTACCAATGGTGCTTGAGCTGGGTGGTCTCACTGGAAATAGCCTCTACTCTTGAGTAGAGGTAAGGTCTAGCATACACACACCCTCCCCAGACCCTACTTTTGTGGGATTCAACTGGGTTGTTTTTGATGATGATCAAAGTTTGTGTAGTTTTACTATAATTGACTCTATTATTATTAGGAATATTAATATTTCCTTTTAGTAATCTTTTTCTATTTTAGTCAATAGAATAAATAAGGAATCATGTTTCCTAGTATGATTATGATGAGAGTTGAGACTCTTGTAAAACTTTGCATATTTATATTCACACAATTATTAAAATATTTATTATCGTTGAAGCAATCAAACAGTTCTTCCTAATTAATCATGGACTAAAGGATCCAAAGTTCTTCCTCTTCTAGCCACCAGCAAGAGAGGGGCTCTTCTTCTATCTCACGGATCTTTTCGGGTGTCTAACGGCAATGGATTCTGTACTTGTTCAATCATGAACCTACACACACTTTCGTGTGCATAGATCATGTTTGCGTGTATGAATGCTCATGAAGTTGGTAATCTTGTTAAACAGATATGGTATTTGGTTTGCATATATCGTGTCTGCCCGTGGATGCATGTACATGTGTGTCTGTTTCAATGTTCATGATGTTAGTAGTTCTTGAATAAGGATATGTAATTTGGTCTGCACACCATTCTCTTTATTAGTCTTTTTATTTATATTTTGGCCTTCTGCAATTTTAATTTTACTCTATCATTTAGATTTGCTCTGTAATAGTAGGTCACCGATGCAACTGTGTTTGCCTTCTCCTTCTTTGCATTTAGTATATTTTCTCCTATATCTTCAGTAATCTCGGAGCCTTGGCTGAGCTTGTGAAGGATAACAGTAGGAATGTTATCCATCAACCTCCACAGCAACTGCAAGAATTTCAGCCACAAATGCATCCTCAGCACCAAGCTCAAGTGCGGCAATCCCAACAGGTAATATATGCCGGAGTGTGGGAGTCTAGTTTGTTATTTGTCTAACTCTATTTGATGGAAACTGGCGAGGGCTTCTTTAACTAATCCTGATATTCGAATTATTTAAGTACTATTTTTTAATTGATCGCCAATAAAAACAGTAAGTTTCACACTTTCACCGTTCTCATTTCTCCTACCTGTGGTTCCACACTTCCACACATCATACCCTGGATTACCCTCTTATAATATGTTTACTATAAGATGGAATGTAGTGTAATAAATGGCTTGGCATCTGGGGCCTGGGTAATTTCGTGCAACATTGGACTGCAGGAGTATTTTTCTCTGGTTGTGACCGTAACCCTAGTTATAAAAAAAAGAAGCTAGAAGAGGGGTCTGACGTATAAAAGTTCGTCATAGTTCAAGATTTGTTTTCAAGACTAATGTTCTTTTACGGAAGGATTCTACTTGAGGGTGCTGTCTCTGAACCACTTCATCAATTTCTTTATAGGCAATAAGGATTGTTCTCTTCAACTTATTTGATTGATTCTGATCTGATTCAATTAAGTTCTAATTTGATCTAGTTATATTTAAAGTTGTTTCTGATCTGATTCCACTAAGAATAAGTAATACGTAAAATGAATAAGTTGAAGAGAACAAGATCTAAGGAGTTAACAATGGTACTGGTTGAAAACTTCGGAAGCTACTTCTTCCCCATTTTGTATACCTGTTGTTTGGTAGACATTTTCGTGGAGTACAGTTTGTTTTGTCCTTTTTTATTTGCTACTCAAGCTCCCCCCCTCCCCAACCAAAAAAAAACAAAGAAACAAAAGGAAAAACTTTCGGGTTATGATGTTTTGTATCAACCTTCTGAATGGGTTTTTTGTATGGCTATGTAGATACAGGGGCAAATGCATCCTCAGTTGCAGCAGATGATTCAAAATAATCCTCAAAACCTGGCATCACAGCAACCGCAGCACTTGGAAAGAATGCGTCGGCGGCAGCAGCCGACTCCTCGCCCTGCAGTTACCATGGGTATGAACTCAAATATGGATATTGATAAGGAGAGGCCGCTGGCTGAAGTAAAACTTGAAAATCCTAGTGATTTCCCAATCGGTAATAATATTGCAATGAGTGCAAGAAATGCCCAGTTAATAGAAATGCATTTTCGCCAGCAACAACTAGCAGCAATGCAATCTACACATCCTCAAAGTGGAAACCAGTTTAGGCCAATGACTAATCCTCAAGTTCCGCAAGTTCATTCACCGTAAGTTCTCTCTCTCTCTCTCTCACGCATGCACACGCACACACATGCACACACACAAACTACCTAGCATTTGTGGTAAGTAACGATCCCTGGAAAATAATAGGGGAACAGAAAAAGAAGGTAATGATGGCTGTTTTCCTTGTGTTTTGCTTTGACTTGGAGAAAAAAGCGAAGGAAAATGATTTTTTTACGAATCTTATACTCCATAATTTCTTAATCTTTATAATAAACATAAATAAAATGAGTTATTGTGTGACAAATAATATGCCCCACTCACATTGAGATCTATCCAACGATACCAATATTGAATACCACATATAATTTTAACCTTTATTTTTCATGTCTTTTCAAGCAAAACATTTGGGGGTTGATTTCATTTTTATAATACCCCTTATTTGTTACACAAATTGACGAATATATACCATATGTTTTGTATAAAAACAAAGAGAAGTTAATGCTCATTAGATTCACAATCTTTAACGACTTTAAGGAGACCATAAAGGACTCCTAAGCATGCAATACATGAAAAGGTTGACGGATATATACCATATGTTTTGTATAAAAACAAAGAGAAGTTAATGCTCATTAGATTCACAATCTTTGTGAAGACCATAAAAAAGGACTCCTAAGCATGCAATACATTAAAGGAACGTATAAGAAAGTGAATGGACTTTGTTTGATGACTCTACCTTAGTACTTTTTGTTTGACAAGATTTCCACTTTGTTTGGACAGTAAAAACGTAGTCCATAAACTTTTTTTCTTTATTCAAAACAAGCTAGCCCGTACTGTACAACCCATATTAAGTACTCCGTATTAGTTATTAAAACTTAATCGTCAACTTTTCATTTTATTTTCCCAATATTTTCTTCCCTCCATGTTTGTCATCATATTTTCTTTCCTATGTGGTTTTTGGGTTCCAAACCGACCCTTAGGATTTCCGTTGATGGATAATAAAAAAATGGCTCCCTTCTTTTGACAACTCTTGTTGTCATAAAATGACAACAAGGGCTACGGTGCTCCGTTTGAAAAAATTATGGTTCTTACCCCCTTGCACCCCACCCAAGCACCCCTTTCCGCCCAACCCAAACGCCGATTGGCATTTTGGGTTGCCGATCGGCATTTTGGGCTGGGGGCGGGGGAAAGGGGTTAGGGGATACGAACCATCAATTCTTTGAACGGAGTAGCATAGCCCTTGTCATATTATGACAACAAGAGTTGTTGTCAAAAGAACCGGGGCGTTAAAAAAATACCGAATTCACTATCTTCTTTCAGGAATATGGGAATGGTTAGGGCTCAACCGGTGAAGGTTGAAGGGTTTCTGGAGTTGATGGGTGGGGATCCTACATCGAAGCATGATTTCGAAGAAAACAAGCTGACTTCTCCAAAGTAGCATGCGACTAACACCGAATTATCATCTATGGGTAACTTATTCTGTATCTTTGCAATGATTCTTGCTCTTTTAGGATCAAAACTGGAAATGTGCAATGATAAAGTGGTTCTATTTAGAGTGTCTGGTATTGATTCCGACTATGGAATAGAGAATCAATTGGGAACATTTAGATGACTTCCCATAAGCCATTGTAAGCTGATTTTGTAAAAGAGAAAAAGACAAGATACTCTGTACATTATTATTAAGCCATTGACAAAGTTGGTATATATTTATTGAAACCCCACTATTAAGTCATTATTATTAGGATTTTGTAGGGCTGGTTCGATATATTCTGGGTAAATTGACGAAAGTGCCCCCTCAAGTTTTTTTTCCTTCTCTTTTCATCATACCCTTCTCTGAAAATCAGTGGGAAGTTGGCCTGCGAGCAAATGGTGGGGTGGTGCTGCGGTGGTCGATTTCGGTACGATGTTTACCACAGAGCAGATGACGTGAAGAAGAAAACTGAATCAAAATGCAATGGTTGCAATAGAGATGATAGAATTATTTAGAATCATAATTTAGATGACATGCCATAGGTTAATGTGTGATTGAAAATGATGTAGATACGAGAGAAAGAGACAAATAAATTAATTAGAGATCGTTTAAAGAATAAATAAGGAAGATTAATTTAAGATGGATAGAGTATTACTTACCAGCATAGTAAAAATAGTAAGTAGTGGTGTCTCACAACACCCTTGGAGAAAATCAAAACCAAGTAAATTAACAATCAAACAATTCAGTACGTGTTGAATGTTATTGACTCTATTATAACGCAGTATCAATTCATACATTTCTCGATCTATTGGCGCACAAAGAATTAATATCTCTGCCTTCGTTGAAGCTCGAACTTGGATAAATTTCTTTATAAATCTTGAGGAGGGGGCTTTTTACCACTCGAGTCGAGAGAGTTCATTAATTTACAACAATCAAACATTGATTCATTAATGGACTTGCACGAAATACTCCATAATATTCTTATACTCATGTAATTTCATCAATAGATAATTAACAGAGTATTTGCGAAGGACCATGTTTACCAAATATTTTTTCACAAACAACTAAAAGAATAAACCACTCAAAAGAGTTAAAACAATCCATCGACCAATTGGTGATTTTAGTGTCATCGGTTTATTTTGTATAATTGGATTTACTTAGATCGGACAAGAATTTTAATAGACGTTGTCAAACGAGTTAGGAGGCGCGGAGTGCACGCTCGTTAAACAATATTACAAATTCACTGCGGGGTTCGGGGGCGGCAGGCCCCGGGTAGCGGGGTCCAAGGGGCGGCAGTCCCTGGCGGAACTTCTCGCGCCAACGAGTGGATAACGTCAAAATTTACTCCAAAAGCCGCAGGAATTTCTCGCGCCTCTTCTCCACACGAACGTACGCGTACGTCTACACGAACGCTCATGTCCGATCAAGAAGTTTTCGACTCTATAAAATAGAGTCTCGTGGTATGGATTGAGTACAAATTTCCGAGTGCTTGTTCTTGATTAACGTCTTATCCGATTGAAGTATTTCGTATACCCTAAAATAACTTTGATATAAAAGCGTTTCGTACGCGATTCGTTATAATATCGAGTTCTTTGTTTAACACTGCTTCGCAGTGTTCTTCCTAATTGAAGTCCAACAAATACAAGCCATCAACAATTAACATCCTAACTTCCATACAAAGTCAAATAGAAACTAAAACGTTCATGGAGAGACAAAAAAATAGAAGGGCCTGTTTGGGAATATCGTTAGAACTTAGCGTTAGCGTTTTGAAAAGGCTATCTACGGGCAATGTTTAGTGTTAGCGTTTTTAAAGTAATCTGCACCGTTAACATTTTATCCAAAATGCTAACGCTAATCTCTAATACTATTTTCAAAGAAGTTGACATCTATCCAAATGAGAATGGAAAAACATGAAATACATCATCCCCTCTTTAAAATGTTTCTTTTTCTAGGTACTAGTAAGTCTGTTACAATATAGTGTCTGTTATTACATATTTTCCAAATTTGTTAAAACGCATAGAGTAAACAATCTCACAATTGCGATGATATTTGAATCTAGGTGAGCTTCCCATCTAAATTATTGAAAGTATTCCTCTTACCACTCATGTTAAGGAAAAACTCTAAAATATTTCTTTCATATTAGTACATCATAGGACAAAATTGATACTCTCTCCGCGCCATAATAATGTTTCATTTTACTATTTTTGGGGTCAAATTATATTTCGTTTCTTTACTTATTCTCATTGATCATTTGATGAAATAAAATAATTTTGTCATCATCTATTTTGTAGTATTTTTGTAGCTTTTAAATATATAATCTGTAAATTTTACTTATTAATTCTTGTTGGGAAATAAACACACAACACACACAAATAATCTGCGAGAAACGAGAGAAACGGAACACGGACGACACACAAGAATTTAACGTGGTTCCGTTTCCCTAATCCACGGCTGCAACGGGAGGAATTCTATTTCACTTGTCGTGTCTCCCGGAATTACAAGTATAAGAGCTCAATATATAGGAGAAAACAAAACTAGGGTTACATAACATGGGCCGACCAATAATTCAAGCCCAAGCCTCCACAAACCCAACATTCTCCCACTTGGAGGCTTGATAGTCATCAACTGCCATCCACCACGATTGCATGTACATCGAGTGATCTTCCACAGCTCTCCTGTTGCAGCGGCCCTCTCATCAGACAACTGAAAGGCCCGTTGAAGCTCTCCCAAGCTCCAACCCATTAGTCACGGCTAAATCTGCCCCTGACTCGTCCTTGGTCCCTACCGGCTCCCACTGCAGATGCACACTGCCGGATCCTGGAACATCCTGAGAACAAACACTCTCCATACTCAGCAAGAAATTTTCTGGAGATGTTCCAACAGCTGGAATACTGGTTCTCCTGACCCACTGTCTTCTATGCAACTTGGCTGAAGCGCCTCTTGAGCTCCCATTGCCATAAATACCTCTAACTGGCCCCCTTGAACCTTTCCACGCTCGTTCATCCTGAGTCTGACCAGTGGCTCTAGGTTTCTCTCTTGCACAGACAACCTTCTTCTGCCCACGAGACTATGTGAACCAGACTTTGTTTCTCTTCTGAACTGGGAAGGTCACTCCCTCAGATGGTAACTCGACCATATACAGCGAACCTCTCTTCTTTCCACGGGCCATGACAAGATTTCCCTTCACGACCTTCCACTGCCCATCTCTGAACTTCACCTCATGTCCCTGTTCGTCCAACTGCCTGACAGAAATCAAACTTTTCTTCAAGGCTGGAACAACTTTGACATCCTTCAAAGTCCAGAAACCGACTGGGGTCTTCAGCACTATGTCACCCATGCCCGTCACATCAAGAGCACTTGTAATGCCGCAAAATATGGCCTAAAATTTATTATAAAACAAAAGTAATTTCTGTCCAATAAGGAATAATTATACATTTGACCAAAAATAAATGGATTTTCAAAATAATGACTTTTTGTTAAAAACTTATTTTTTATGGATATGTCTCGAAGAGACGAATCCAACGGTACATTTTATGAACCAATCCGATTTATAGATTTCAAGTTATGACGATTTTTAAATATTAAAATTTGTAACTTTGACCCATAAAAATAAACTCAATTCAAAAGTGATTTCATAAAATTAGAAATCTTAATTTTTGACACTTGATAACATCATATTAATCATTTGGATTTAATTCGTATATTTTTATCTCATTTTTCTTATTAAATTAACTTATGACTCAGACAGACCCAGAGATTAAATAAAAATAAAAGTTCTCAGAAAAATATTCTGATTACATCAAAATTCTAGTTTTGACAGTCTCATTCCAAAAACACAATTCGTTTTCAATTCGAAACAGATTGGACGAAAAAGCGCGTACCATTTGGGGTAAACTGTTCAGTTTGGACAAAGGTCCAAAACTAAATCCTAAAATATCCCCCAAAATCTCGTAGCCTCCATCTCCCAAATCCTTAGCCACCCTAGGAAGAAATATGGACACCCACTAGCAAATAATTCATATCCTTCCTACATAAAACTCCACTATAACATCATCATCATCTTACACCATTCCACATCACCCATCATCTCTGCTCCTCACCATCCCTCCCTCTCTGTCGGCAGCAACTAAGGAGGAAGAAAACACAATTATGCTCCATGGTTTATGTTAAGGAAGAAGAAGAAGGAGCAAGAAAATCATCCAAAGTTTCCAAGTTTTGAGTCCAAAAACACAGCAGTCCACTTTGAGGTAAAAACTGAAATTTTTCATCCATGATCTTGAAATACTTCTTGAACCAAAGTTGTAGCCCCGGACGATACGATTCCATCCCAACAAACGGCTCGCGATTTCTTTAAGTAACGAAGAAGATATGGCCAAAATACCGGGACTGCGCCAGAGGTGGCGAGCTCCTCGGGTTGGCTATGTTTCTTCACCATATCCATGTTGTTTCATTCCAAACACTCACCATAAACTCTCTAACAATTATTAGGAAAATCCGGAAGGTATCGTAGAGAAGGTTCGGTGTTGGAATATTGAAGTTAATGAGTTAATCGTCGGAATCGTGGTTCATCGACATATCCGAAATCCTGGACAACAACTATCCTTTGACTTCAGGTCCGATTTACGCCATCTTACATCTGTTAACTCGAAATACTTTCTATGCGAAAGTTATAGCCTTACATCTTAGAAATCAACAGAATCAAACGGTTTGCAATTCCGTGAAGAAACGATGGAGATATGCCCAAACTACCATAGGTTGTCCATTTATGACAAAAATGACAAAGTTGGCGAATTTCGATGTTGTTTTCACTCCCGCTCATCCGTAAGGTTTCGGCCGATGATTTCCAGGTCTGCACCCTTGCGTTAGACTTGTCGAATCATTCATCACATACATACATGAACATATATATATATATATATATATATATATATATATATATATATATATTGTAACGCCCCGAAACTCGGCTTAGTATTTTAATTAATTTGTAGAATTAATTAATTATTGGGCCGATCAATACGAAGATTATTTTCTAATTTGCATAATTAATATGAGGGTTGACCAACGTTGTACGACACGCTGTTCTGAACCCGACCACACAAATGGATTGAGAATCGGACTTACAGGGCCCAAGATACGACTACCGAATGAGGTAATTGGGCCTAAATTTATCCTAACCAGTTAAGAAGTGTAAACTGGACCTTAAAATTTCATTAAATTTATATTAAATAGGGAGTGGGGGAGTTACGAGACTTCGTCCGTTTCGCCTCTGTTCGCCGTTCGTCTGCCAGGGAGAGCGAGCAGCCGCAGCAACCGTCGAGAACCTCCGCCGCTGTCGCCGCCGTCGACGCTAGAGATTCCGACCGACGTCCTCGCCTCGTCCCTCCGTCACGCGCAGCAGGCCGGCGAAACCAGGGAAGAGTTGCAGCGGCGAATTCACTCCGATTCAAGTTCAATTCGTCGTTTTTCGAGGTGATTTGTGGTTTCTATACCTTTTGCTAGCGTTAATTCGTAGATTAGAACTTCCTTAGCGTATAATCTTTCAATTTGAATGAGAATTGTGAATGTTGTGTTGAAATTATGAAATTTGTGTTGGGGGGGGGGCTGTTTTCCGTCATCTCCTCCGGCGACCGCCGGCAACGGCGGCGGCGAGGTGGCCGGAATAGGGCAGCATCTAGATTTGGACAAATTGGATCCAATTGGAACCAATTGGGTCCAATTGGGTCTAATTGGGTCCAAACGGGTTCAATTGGGCTATTTGGATTCAATTGGGTGCAATTGGATGTGATTGAACTATTTTGGGTTAATTGATGTACTGTTCGGGTTGCTGTGAATCACCCATCGGGGCTGTTTGGTCTGGCTTTGGGTTTGGGCAGCCGGGGAGGCTACCGGCGGGGGTGCTGGGGTTGTTCCGATGATGATGGGGACTGCTCCGGCGGGGGCAGCGGGCCCGAGGATTGATTCCTTAGTCTCGATTCCGCGCAGGTAAGTTGGGTTAATTGTAATTCAGTTTCTTGATTATTCATGACGGTAATCGTGGGTCTTCGGCCCGGATAGGCCGCTACGTGATTTGTTGCGAATTGTGAACTGAGATTTAAATTAAACTTATGTTATTGGTGAATATTGTGGATTACGAATAATATATGAGAAATAGGCCACCTAGTCTAATTAGGCGGGACCTGAATTGGATTGACTAATTGAATCACCAATAGGATATGGTTAGGAAATTGGCCATTGCGGGGCGTCGTCGCACCCCCGGTGGTCTTGGGTTAAAAACGTACGTACGGAAGTCCGCGACCTGTCCTGGCATCGTAGGGACAGGGGCTTCAACCCGCCCAAAGTGAATCTCCTTTGGGTTTCTGAGCTGGCCCTTTTATAGCATCGCTTGGGGTGCCATGACTCAAAGTAGTTGATGTGGAATAAAATAAGGACATGATGTTCAAATGAAAGGTGTTAATATAAATATGTTTATTTAAGCTATTTTTTTTCCTCCGTGATCACATGCTGTTGTGGATTGTATGTTAATGTGGTGCTATTCTGTGACTTAATGCTAGCTTAGGTATATTTTCACTCAGCGTTTCGCTGAGCGTGTAGTCGTTGTTGTTTGACTGCACGCAGGTAGGAACACGGAATTTGATGGGCAACCCGGAGGGCAGTGAAGTGGTGGTGGCGTGGATGGCTCTTGTTTACTTTAGTAATAAAACTACATTATTTTATTTGCTTATATGGATTGTTGGACGTTACTTTGGTTTAATTATGCTTCCGCGACTTTTGGACTTGTTTTATTACTCCGATAAATTTTGGTTTAGCATTAAGCTCCCACGGATGAATTTATAATTTAATCAGTTGGTTATTTGTTTTAAAAAAACATTATGCATGCGAATACCAATTTAATAACAACCCGGTTCGCTAACCCGTTGGTTCGGGTTACGCGGGTTGGGGTTCAGGCATTGATTCCTAAAATGCCCCACCTCCTTGCACTTCCAGCACGGTACACCTGAGCTATCCCGAGTCTTTGACTGACTCCTTCGTCTGTTCCTGCTCCCACTACCTCTGCTATTTCTTCTGCTCTACCAACATGAAGCAATTCACCAGATGACTCCTCTGAACTCTTTCTTCTGACATCCTCGCCAAGAACGAAATCTCGAATCTGATCAAAGGTGAATCCATCGGGTCCCACTGAACCGGTAACTGCAGTAACTGTTCCGGACCAACTATCAGGTGAAGACGATAGCAGTAGTAAAGCTTGAACTTCATCATCGAACTTAATGCCCACTGACAATAGTCTGGCTAAGATCGAATTCAACTTGTTGATATGCTCGGTAACTGAAGTGCCTTCTTTCATTTTTGTGTTCACCAGCTCTCTTATCAGAAAAACTTTGTTCGCTGCAGATGGCTTCTCGTACATGTTAGACAGCGCTTCCATAATTCCCTTCGCTGTCTTCTCCTTCAGAATGTTGAACGTAACATTCTTGGTCAACGAGAGACGGATCACGGACATTGCTTTCCGATCCAAACCTGCCCAATCTGCATCTGACATCTTTTCTGGCTTGTCACCCAAAACCACATCCAAATCTTTTTGAACGAGCAAATCTTCAATTTGCATCTTCCACCAACTGAAATCTGTACAATCGAACTTCTTAATTTGGAACTTCCCGTCTTCTGTCATATCACACGACTAGACGAGATACCCGGTACAACTAATTTCAGATCTTGGTAATTTCGTCAGAAAATCAGGCCCACCACACCGATTAAATTAGCCAAAACAAATCAGCCCAATATCCACCCACCAATTACAGCCCACGAATAACACCAAATTCAAGCCAAACTGCCAAAAAAAGAATAGTGGACTGACCAATTGAAATAATCGGCCCACTGTCCCTTCCCCACTTCTTTTTTAATCCTTCCGCACCTGCCACAAAAAAAGGAAAAACAAACCCCAAAAATGGGGTGACAGACAAGGCCCAACCCCTTTTTTATTGTTTTCTTCTTCGATTCAATTAGGGCGGCGGCGGCGGCGATGGCTTTGGAATTGGGCGGCTGGACTGCCTTCTGCACAGCCTATCCAACGGTGATGCGTTCTGGACGGCGGCTGCACTCCCCGCTCGACGCAGCTTACTGCACGTGGGTGGGGATCTAACGGCTGGACGAAGTTCTGCACTGGACGGTGGCGGCGACTCGTAGTGATCGCTCCTATCTGCGCGACGGTGGCTCGTAATTTCGGACAAAATATCGTAATCCAAAACTAGAATATTATTATCCGAAGGAGGAAGTATTTTAATTTAAGAGATAACCAAGGTCAGGGCATATAAATATAGTAATAGTATGAGTAGACCTGATGGATTAGGGATTTTATTTAATCCAATATTATTTGAATAGTACAAGAAAGTCCAATTTTATCTGGCCCAATATATAAATCAGATAAATTGTTCAAGACGGAGCCAGAGATATGAAGACGAAGAAGATAATTTGATGAGATGTATACAAATTGCCAAGGAACCAAAGATATATTTAGTGGGACTCAGGAATTATTCCTTGTCACCCACTACCTCATTCCTTCCTCTTATTATAGGAAGAAGCTATGCAGAGGAGGAAGAGGAGGCCAGATTTCTACAACAACTTACTAGTATTCTTCATTCTTCTTCTTCTTTAAGCTTGAAGCTTCATTAATGGCTCCAAACTCCTACAATGATGTATATGTAAATTCTCCCGAGATTAATAAAAGTTCATCCCCTTTGGGTTTCCACGTATAAATACTTTCTCTCTACTTTTTTTTATTTATTTTCTGGATTTCGTTATTCGGTGCGGTGTTGACCCGGTACCGAGTTCGTCGGGTCGACGCCCCGAAAAAGCAGTTTCCATCACCACCAAATAGCACCTCAAATTATACATCACCTCTGTCTGCACCACATATTTCCAGGACCCAATTTTTTGATCATGAATAAAAGTTTGGGGTGGAAAAGAGGTGGTGTACAACATCAGATATGATTTGGTTTACTTCAAGCATTTTGATATGAAAATAAGAGTAATGTTACACTAAACTAACTGTACACCAGATTGTACCCCAATATTCATCTGATTATATACTTCTTTTGTCCCTATTTTGATTACAAAATGTGGATTACGAGGTAAAATCGCACGATTTTTGAAATTATTTTATTTACAAATTGGTACCTCAATAAGAAATAAAAATTATATATTAGAAACTACATCAAAAGTTCTACAAAACAAGAGGTGACCAAGATATTTTATTTTATCAAATAATCAATGAAAACAGACAAACAAACAAAAATTATCGAGAAAAGAAAGAAAATAAAACTGTAATCAAAATGGGGACGGAGGGAGTATTTTTTTTCAATAATGCCAAGGGTACACCATGATGTGGTATCCTATTTGTACACCAAACAAAAACAGGCACACATAAATACTCTATGTATGTGATGATGTAAATTACCTAACCAGGTAAATAGTACTAGACCGAGTTTAGGATTGTTTACTAGATTCGGAAAAGTAAAAGCTAAAAACACATAAAGTAACCGAGAGGACTGTAGGTGGAAACACCTGTAGCCTAATTAATATTCCGAATATAGTATAGTGCACAGAAACTTTTACACGGGAGTTGTAATGAGAAGAAATCGGGTCCCTTCCTTTGAGGGTTATACAGGTATTTATAGTAAGCTAAAGGAGACAAGGCGCTGCACATCCATGTCAGGGCCCTGGGTGGTGCGAGGTGATTGCCTCTGTCTTCTAGTGACCTTATCATCTAGCTAGGAAGGTGACTCCTTTGTCACCTAGCGTGTTGGATTGATTGTCCGAATATCTCTAATGATCTCGCGTTGAACTTGGCCGCTACAATCCAATTCCCTTTGGATTCTTCCTTGCCGACACTCTCCAATCCTAGAAACCATACCGGGTGATTTCTGTTGGATGAGTCTACTGAAATTGGGGACGAGTGAGGGAATAATGTAGTTTTCCCGGTAGACTTTCTGAAGTATACCGGTCAAACCTTTGGTCAACCAATCACCTTTTTACTATTGTTTCAGGCCTCCCATTCTGAAAAATCAACCTTGACCGGTTGGATATTTGAGCGCATTCCTTGACCGGTTCTGGGTGGAATGCACCCATCAGTCTGTGCACACACAGATTTTGAATATCTTTCTGTGTCTATTTTTGTTTGGTGTACAAATGAGATACCTATAACATTTCACTTCCTTCATCCTAAATATTTTTTAAAGACAAAAAAATAAATCCTAAAAATGAGTAAGTTTGATATTATCTCTAAATTATAACACACCTATCATACACATCATATCATACTTATTTTAAAATAAGGGCAACATTAGAAAATAATATTAAAATTAAATATTTTTAGCTCACGTATTTTTCATATTTGAAAATTTTTATGGGATCAAGAAAGTATATTTTCAATATTTTTATCTAGATCAAATACCCCCTCCTTGGAGATTCATTTATGCTATTCCAACAACATGTAAAATTCAATCTTTCTTAAAATGATTTCATCTATAAACTATTATAGAAATAAAAAGCACAAATTATTGGGTGATTTCCCTGCATGTGTAAATTGATTGAAATGTATTCTATTATATGTAATTTAAAAATGCACTTTCCCAAATAATGCAAACCGAAGTAGCTTACTCCGTTTGCCATTTATTCTTTAGCAAAACGGAGTAGCCAACTCCGTTTCAAATGATTATTTAGGGAAACGGAGTAGCCAACTCCGTTCACCTTTTTTGATCTGCGGAAGAAAGGGAAACATGCACAAAGAGTGGAGATGGGGGGATCTCCACCTATTATTTTTTAAAAAAATCAAAAGTTTTTGTTTGTTTCTCAACTTTGTTCCTATATCTTTTTTAAATCAAATTTTTTTCTTTATTTATTATAATTTTAAAACAATTTTTTTTATAAAAAGCAGAAAATTATTTACATATAATGAAACAATCTACTAATAATAAAATGCATAAATAAAATAATTTCTTATTGACTTTAAATAATGCAGCAAACAACAAAATTAAAATAAGAAGTAAATCACAACAAATTTATTCATAAAATACATACAATTTATTCATAAAAATAAGATTACCAAACACATGCCATAACTAATTTATCTTCTATCATGTTGATGTTAATTCAAGGGCTAAAAGTGTAATTATACAATGATAGTCTACAAATGTGGTCTTTCGTCGGAATCTAAGCCCACAATCATAGTCATTATTTTTGTGTTATCTGCTTAACCAATATCAGAACACGTCTCTAAACATAATGTTGATGTCAAATTATACTACATATATATTAAAATAATGAAATACAATTCTAAAAGTTCTCAATACTATAAATCCAATAAAGCCATTTTGTGTTAAAATACATTATGGTTCTTATTTAATTGAAGCTCAAAATTTGTCCAGTTTGATTCGAAAAAGTCAAACTGAACAAATATTTTGGGACAGAGAAAGTAATTTTGATATATCAAATTTTTAATATGATTAAATTATTTATATTATTTTTAATTTGTGACAAAAAATGTCATTATTTTAAAAAGAATCAAAACATGAAATCTTTAGGATTGCGGAGTAAAAAAGGGAAAATGGTAAAAAATAAAGAAAATAAAAAAAAGAGCAAGACTCCTTGTGAAAGAATGAACAATTGCCAGATTGCCTTTCCTACGGTTAAAAGGATTTACACGGATGAGGTCTTTTTCCTTCTTTCTGGATTAACAAACCGAAAAAATGGAAAACGGAAGAAAAACAGAGCCAAACGGAGTAGGCAACTCTGCCAATAAATAATTCAGTCGAAACGGAGTAGCCAACTCCGTGTTGCACTGCGGGGGAAAAAACCTCTGACGTACACTGCCAGGAATGCTTTATAATTTTCTTACATATACCGGGAGTTTACTCCAAATTATTTACTCCAATATTTTGAAACTACTTAAAATTAGTTCCACAAAATAAGGCATGGGTATAATTCGGATTATAACTTGGTATTTTTGTGAAAATAAAAAAGACAAGACCAAATTAAAAAAAAGACCAGACCTTTTGAAATTTGTTGTGAAATGCAAAATAAAAGTTCCAACTTTTCTAAAAGTTGCATGGAAAGTGGAAACAAATCAAACAATAAATGAGTGAAGAAGAGAAGTGGCTGCCAGCCACCCACCCATGGCTGTCCTCTGAAACTTTTATTACTCCGTACAAATTTCAACAATTCGAAGAAGACGATCAAATATGCTCTATCGAATCTCTCTTGTCTTCTTCTTTCTTATCATGGCTCTGCAGATAACTTAACAAATCATCGACCGCACCGTCTTGTTTACCCCTGTCACAGAACACTCCCTTCATCTCTTTGATTTTCTCCCTGTAGATCTTCCCTTCTTCTCCGGCCATCACCAGCTGCAGTGACTCGGCCACGGACTCGCTCGTGAATCGCCCGTCTCGCTCGTCTCTGGGTATGGAGTACCCCATCTTCTTCTCCTCCAGAACCCTCGCGTTCAGCCCCTGGTCCGCCAGGAAGGTCAGAAGCACCAGCGGCTTCTCGAACTGTACCGCCTCCACCACCGAGCTCCACCCCGAGTGAGTCAGGAACCCGCCCACCGAGTCGTGACTCAGTATCTTCAGCTGTGGCGCCCAGCTCGTGCACACGACCCCGCGCCCTCCGGTCCGCTCCTCGAATCCGTCCGGGAGGCGGGTCGAGTCCGTGTCGGCCTCCCCCCGTCTAGTCCTCAGAACCCAGAAGAACGGGAACCCGGACCGCTCTAGTCCGAGCGCGATGTGGGTGATTTCGAGTTGACTCGGTTTCGCCTCGCTCCCGAACGCAACGTAGACGACTGAGCCGGCGGCTTGCCTGTCGAGCCACGCTTTCGTTTCCGGCCACGAAGCGCCTCCGTCGGCGGCGTTATCCGTCGTCGGCAGCTGGCCGACGGGTAAGACGGGTTTCCTGTGAATATCCTTCATAAGCTCAAACCACTCGGAGTCAAACTCCACACACCCCCTCACGGCCAGAAAATCGCAGTGTTGGGCGCTCCTAGAGGCCCGAATCACATCGGAAACGCCGTCTTCGTCCTCCTCCGCCAGGTCGATGATCTTCATAATCTCGAATAGCTTCAAAGCCACGGTGGATTCAAACGGGACCCACGGCGGCGGCACCACGAAATCTTCCGGTTTAGTCCGGAGCTTGGCATCCTCCAACCTCCCCACAAAGAATGTCAATGCGGAGGCTGTGAAAATGCTAAAGAAAGCGGTCGGAATCCCCAGCTGAGACGCGACGGAGGGAATCCAATAGTAAACGAAATCGAATAAAACCCAATCGGGGGAAGAGTTTTCAAGAAATCTGGCCACCGGATCTCGAAGGCGGTCGCTGGCGAGCTTGAGGTACTTGACTTTGTCGTAGGGCAAATCGGAGGTGGCGGCGGCGTTTGCCGGCAAGTTTGTGAGCGGCGGAAGGGGGAGATCGACGAAGGTGATGAGGGAGGAGAGGTGGGGAGGGAGTTTGGGGAGGCGGTCGATGTTTCGCCGGTCGGAAATGAATGAGACGGCGTGACCACGGGAGGCGATGTGCTTGGAAAGCTCCAAGAACGGAATCATGTGGCCGAAAGCTAGCCATGGGAACATCACTACGTGAAGCTTCTTGCTGGTGTTGACCTCCTCAGTGGCCATGGCGGTGTATATAGCTTGCTGTGTTTTGGTTTGGAGATTCGCAGATTGAAGAAGAAGAAGAAGAAGTGACACTGATATTTAAAGGAAAATTCTCTCTTCTTTTTGCGACCCACTTCCTATTTTTCAAGCTTGAAGACTTGAAGGGTGTATTTCACTATTTGGGAATCATTAATGGAGAATTTATTTACCGTCCAATTTTGATTTTTTTCAAAACATTTCACTTATAATTAAATAAAATATATATTTTATATTAATTAGATTAAATAATATTTTAAAAGTATTCTTTATAATGAATCTAATAAAATTGTTTTTGTATCAATATTTAATACGGAGTACTCTGTATCTTTTTTATTTTGAAGGCAAAATTTACCAATTTTGATCAAACAAAGTCAAAAGTAGACAAATATTTAGGGACGGAAAGAGTATATGGTACTCCCTTTATCTCATATTTTTCTTCCATGGAACCTTATTTGAGTTTCACAAGAACTTTTATTTAATTATATTTTCTCCTGGCTTATATGAAAAAATATACTCCGTAATATTCTTGTCGTAACTTTAATTTATTTCAATACCAATCTTTCAATAAAATAGATTGAAAAAAATTTGGTGTTTTTCTTCGTTTTGCGCAATGCATAGAAAGATTTAGAACGGGAGGAGTATTAAATGCGAATATTCGAATGCAATACCATATATTTTAATTTTTTTTAATGTAATTCTAGTTTTCAATGTCCACTGGACATTGTTCACATAATTAATTATAAGGAGTACTCATTCACAGGGATGACTCTTACCGAACCCGAGACCAACTCGCTTCAAAATGTGGTCACATCAACAGAAAAGTCCAAAAATATATTGGAGATTACGAGGAACGCTTTCGGTACCGAAAGAGCGGTATGAACAATGTCGATGTTCTACGACAAGCCACCGCCCGATATCAAGACAACAGACACCAAGACAAAGTTGCCTATATTATTTTTTTCTAAGATGGAATTACCTATTTTGTGATTTTTTTGATAATTCAGCATAAATTTTCACCCAAAATAGTAATTCAAAAGTTGTGAAAATGGCACAATATTTGTTTTCTCCAAAACGGCACTAATAAATTTTATAACTCGCTACAATTTTTTTTGTATTGCAATTTCTTTCTTGACCGATACTCTAAATTATTATTTATAATTCAATATTATATTTCCCCAGAATAGAAAACAAAATTTGTAAATTGTTAGACAATCTCTAACAAAAGCGTACTGTTATACATTTAAAAATAGTAATTTTAAATTTAAACTTAAAAAAGTAAAAAGTAAATTTATTTAAAATAATCTCATCTTTCATTTATTTGCGGAAAACAAACATTTCGGTGAAGTGGCCTTTAGTTTTTAACGGCGACCCAAAACTCGCACACATGCGGAAAAGTGAGATTATTTTCAGTGACAATAAAAGTGGGACTATTTTTGAAAAAAGTGTGAAAAGGGAAATTATTTGAGATAATTTTTCCTTGTAATATACGTAGTGTTCATTCTGAATTAAAAAGTAATCATTCTCAAATAACATAATGTTCATTATCAAATAAAATTAAACTCATACCATCAATAATCTTTCTCCGTGAGCTTCTCCTACGCGACGTAACCCTAGGGTTTTCATCTCGCCCCTCTCCTCCCATCTACCGCATCTTTCTTCTTCGATCAACCTGTGTCTGTAACGTCGCGGCAACCATCGCTCCTCGTCATCTTCGCTGCTCCATCGTCTTCAGTCTTCGCTACTCCATCGTCTTCCGTCTCCGATGGTCCGACCCGGTAAACAGAGGAGCGGCTTCAATTCCCGCGGCTTCCGTTCCGTTAATTTTCGTTCCTCAATTATCTGGTTGTACCGGATTTTCCGGTACAGCCGGATGTACGATATAATTTAATGCATTTTTTGTGGTATTCATTTTATTTATTTTTTCTTTTTGAGGTTACTTTTCAATTCATTTGACTAAAATTTCATTCTTTCAAATCTGGTGTGTTCAAATTGATTAAAAACAAAAATACATAAAAGTAAAAATGGACATATAGTCGCAATTACTCCGTAGTAACTTGTACCAGTCTTACTTAAAATTTAGATTATCATAATTTTGAAGATTACTCCAGTTGGGGTAGATGGAGTAGTAATTTTTCAAGTTTATTTTGAAATACGCTGTGATACTTTCGAGCTTCTTCCTCGACTTGAGTGATAGAATGACCCCCTCAAGGATTTTAGAAGGGAAGTTCACAGCTTCAAACCCCAGCAAGTACTACATTGTAATCCGTAATATAAAACTATAATACTTTCTGGGGAGGCCTCCATCTTTAAATGAGATTCATTAGAACTGTGTTCTAATAGTTCATTTATAAGAAGAAAATAAGCTTAAAAATAATATAGCAGACAGCAAAAAAATGTTGTTGAGTTTATTTACAACTGTTGAAGTGATCAAGCAACCTTTTGGGGTGTATGTGAAGCAAAAGTCATTATGTCCTGATGGCTAAGTTCCAGGTTAATTAATACATTACCAAATCCCGGAGGCATCATATTTGACTTCAACTTGGCGATGTTTCAGATCCAGCGTAGTAGTTTCTGAGTGTATGTGAGGCATAACTTCATACTGCCAAGTTTCATCTTAATACTTGACCACACGGTGGCGTAACCATAGTTCATACATGACCATATGAAAAGCATCATATTTGACAGGGGGTGAATTCCACTGGAAATGTTTCTGGATCTGTAAGATGAAAATGTTCTCTTTTCAGTCTTCGTGTATGTAACGTATAGTAATTTTCGACATAGTCCTAATTATAAAGATAGTCTAAACACACTGAAGTAGTGCCTACCTTGAGTAAATTGTAATGCAAAGTCACAAACTCCTCTTGAGTAATGTTCTTGAGAATCTGCTTTAGCTCATATACATCCTTCTCCCTGAGAACGACCGCAAATTTATGCCAATTGATTATGTCGTTGAATGGCAAGTCGTAATAATTAGAGAGTATCACTGCAACAAAGCCCAGACAACTTGGGTATGAGAAGCAAATTGTGACATGAATTATACACTTACAACATGGTAGTTGCGAACAGAATAGTATATACTCACTCCGTCCCAATGTTTATGTCCACTTCCCTTTTTACACTTCTACAAAGGAAGGGAAAGTTAATCTGAGGAAGTTACAAAATTGTCTTTATTTTGGAGTGCTTATCTGACATTCCAAAATAATACTCTGTATAATCTTTGATGTCTTCCATCTCTAGGGATCTACCTCTCTCGACGTGTTGATCTAGAAGCAATGATGGAAAATTGAACTCTGATGGTGATGAATCTAGTAGTGTCCACTGAGAAGCAATGACGGAAAAACTAGTAGCGCCGGTCTAGGAGCGGTGACAAATTCGTTTTTACAACCAGTTCATTTAGTATAAATTTGGAAAAATCCAAAGACAGATTTGTTTTATAAAAACAGTAACATCGATCCAGTGGTGATGAACCCACTGGTAATGATGACTGATTGATGGAATAATACAGAGTCCGCAACGGAAGACATATCCAAGGTGCTGTATTGGGGTCCTACGTATGGGACGGAAGGAGTAGCTTATTAAGCTGCTACGCAGAATAAGCTGAACTACTATGCAATGTAAACCATGTTTGTCAGTGTGTGACAATAAAAAACTAAACACTTTTTTTAGGACTATGTGAATAGAGTTAGGAAGGAAATGATTCATCCAAATACACCAATTATGGAATCAATGGCATTCTGTGGTTGTCCATAGAGGCATACAATGTGGTCATGTGGACACTAATTGTGTCTCTATGGATTGATGTGCATGTAATTGGCAATTACTATGTTGTGAAACCCTGGAATTTCTCTTTTCCCTAGACCTTCATACAAAAATTACAGAATGCTGAGTCAAGTGTCATGCAGGCATTTACCCTCTGCTTCAAATTCATCCCTGTTAGTGGTTAACTTTCTCGTGCAATGGACATATGATGACAAAGAACAGAAGAAAAATAGGATCAGACGCATACCAGGAATGCATGCATAGTGTATTGAGTCTGCTATGCGAGCACTATTGACCTGAGAGCCACCAGGGCATATGCAGAACTTAGTCCTGTAAAATCTCTTTTGATAGAGTAGATGTCCACTGGCCCTGTTTATCCTGTTGTTAGATATATCAAGTTCTGTGTCATTCTCCCACACACGAGCCAAGATTACCCTTATTTTAGAGTTCCTATGGCCCGCCCAGAATCCCAGAGATGTCCTGTGAGAGAGGATAACTATTGTTAATTTCACCAAGTCTATATTATTGAATGCACATTTGTTTATTGCAAAAAAAGAAGGTAATTTCACCAAGTCTACATTAACATGCTACAAGTATTTGCAGGTTACATTAACATGATACATATTACTTCTGTTTATTATGAAGGCGAGTTTCAGAGAAATGTTACATAGTCATTGTAGACCACCACAGTAATTTGTTACCTCTATTAAACTATGTAGGAAAAAAAGAGTAGTAAAACAAGCTGTGGTAAAGAATGGTTACTTTAAATTGACAAATATTCTCAACCTCAAAAGTGTGATGCTGCCAAAATGATAGGCTGAACATCCGCTAAGTAATGTTTTATGCATAGTCATATGAAGCATATGCCTACAAGAATTATGTATGTAAACATTTTAAGGTGTAGCCTAACCAAAGCTTATTCGGGTATGAGAATTAAGAAACTCAAAACAGAAAAGCAGCACAGGTAACGAGAGTTAGCCACCTTTGTAAAGTCAAAGCTGATAATTCATAGCAGCTGACCACATTGTTGATTGTTCAATTCATAGATATCAAAAAGTGGCAAAGTGATACCACTGTAAACATTGCTTGTTGGCCTCATGCTTTCTTGTTGAAAAACATGTTACATCGGTACCATAAAGTTTCCGAGGTGCTTATAGATCTAATTCGAATTCTTATAAGATGAGGAAACAATCACAAATTCTGCTAATCATCAATAATCTAATAAATATCTTATGTGTGCCACAAACCAGCAATTCTGTTTGGGTCTGGAAGGGTAAAGATAAAAAACAGAGAAGCTCTTTCCATTTGACCTTGATTTATTGCTTCATTTTTAGCCAAAACTTCATAGAAAGTAAGAAGCAAGGAAAGGGAAAGTCTAGGTGCCATATTATTTAGTCCATTTTTAATCAGAAGCAAAGACATTGTCCAAAACGGCTATTTCAGCTACATTGGCAATGGACGGTGCAAGATAATGTAAAATAAGAGGGAGAATGCACAGCAAAGATCTTTCTTAGCATAACATTCCATAAATCAGATCACCATACTTAATAAGAATTACCCAAAGTAAAGCAAGGAAGTGCATCAAAAATTAGATGAGCTCTCCGGTCTCCGTTTTCATCATATGTTCAAATTTACTGCACTACCTATTCTCCACATCATTTCCACCAGCTGGAAGAGCAAATGGTTGCAAAACTTGAGGGAGTGCAACATCTTTGTGCGGAATATATCCAACATCGTAGCTTGGGGAGCACACAACACGAATGGAATTCTTTATGAGAAAGGGATGTCCTTCAGTAGCCCTCACACCAACATCATGACAAGTAACAAAAAAGTGATCGGCACCTAGGGTTCTGTTCCAGTATGGGTACTTCACTATTAAGCTCTCAACATAGTTCTGTACAATTATGGTCATATTCTCATAGGATGTTCCCTGCACGTGTTCAAGTTAGGAAGGATAAGTTCTCAAGATAAATGAATACTGTTCTTGGATTCCGATCCCAAAAGTGAAACAATACTCCCCCCCGTCCATGAATTATTACCCACTTTGACCAGGCACGACATTTAAGAAAATGGTGGTTGAGATTTCTTCAAAAGAGAGAAGTAATATGAACTGCATATTGATTTCTTTAAAAGAAATGGGTAATAATTAAGGGATGGTTGAAAGAGGAAAGGGGAAGATAAATTAGGGACGAGAGCAAAAAAAGAGGAAAGGGGAAGATAAAGGCTTTAATAGGAGAGAACTTAAATTATAAATTCAATCTTCGTAGTCCCAAATATCAATTAAAAAAGTACTCTGTATAAACCAACAATAGTGGACTGTGAACAGGTTATAAAAGCCTGGAAGAAAAGGCAAGAGTCACCAGGTGCCAAGTTGCATGAATACTTGTTTTGTTAAATAGATATGGATTATTGTTTTACGAGTAAACCCCCCAAAGTCTCCAAACTAGACGTAAACAATTCTAAACATACTGATATGTTTGTGGAGTCTTAAGATTCAAAGCACAGATACATCTAAAGATTTACGGAGCATGGCAATTTGTGGGCAAGTAAATGCTTTTCTTTTTATTTGGCAAATTCTAAAATGCATCTGACCAGTTCAGCATCAAGCAGATGCTTCTCAGGATATTACAGTTGTACATACAATCCAAGTTCAAAATACCAACAAATTCAATTCATAAAACATTACACTTAACAGATTTTCTAAACATTCTTAGATAAAATCTCAGTTAGAATTCACTAATGTAGACATCTTGCCTACAATTGGCAGGTCTTGCCCCAAATTGAGTCAAAAGCCTTCCTTTCTACAACTAGGTAAGCAAGCTTTAATTATTTGTAACCAAAATGATAGCCCATCCTAATTCAAAATCCAGCTTCTCCTTGAAAATGCATTGTCTAAACCACTCATTGCTAGTGAAATACCTCTAAGATAAAATATCAAAGTTGCACAGAGGAAACCAAACCATGAATATCCAGAGCGAACCACATTGTGGAAAAGATTTACCTTTCCTCTCATCTTATGGCAGGATATTGGAATGAAGAACAAGTGAGCCTGATCTGGATCGTCCGTAACAAAATTACTCTCCCTGATATTCTGAAAAAAATAGCCCTCACTGGCATACTTCCCAGTCAGCTTCCTCGGCGTCTGGTAAAAGGTATTCGGATCGCCATCTGGATATATATACACCTTGAACTTTTTCTCCATTTCCGCATAGTTCAATCTGAATACATCCGGCGAATGATACACATCTGACAATTCGTCTTCCTCAGGCGATAATGAATCTACTGGCTCTTCAATGGACGCCGAACTTCCAGTGGCATTACTTGCCGAATTTATAACCTGAAAATTAAGATCGAGGAACTCCGGAATTGAGTTTTGATATAATCTGAAGGCGTTGAGGATGAAATGAATTGGAGATTTTACCAGTGTCCGTTGGAAAGGAGAAGGATTGGAGGAGGATTCGATGAAAGGTGAATGGAGAGACTTCAGCGAGATGCAACTGAAGGAAAGTAAGGTTAGAACGGCGAGAGTGAGAATAGAGCATTTGAGAGTGCAGATGGTGGCAAGTGATGTCGGCAACTGCGACGGTCTCGCCGCCGACATGGCTGACGGAGGGGTGGTTTCCGGCGATTTTGAAGGAAGTTCGATGTTCCCCTGTAAAATGTGTCAGCAATAACTGGGGACTTGGAAGCATGAAGAAATGGCAGCTAATTGTTTGAGTGTGATCCCGTCCCCACTTCCATATTGTTTTCATCATATTAATCCTACTCTGTATTTTGCACAATCTTTATAAAAAGTTTATTTAAACAAAAAAAAAGATCATCCAAAATAAAATTAAAATATAATTTTATTTTTTAAACTAGAATTGAAATGTTTTTATCTCAAAAAAAGAGAACTATGTTATTATGACAATATGGAAGTGTATAATAGGATTCTTAAATGTATTTTGATACGGAATATAATATATTAACATTATTAATATAGTTTAGGTAAGAATTCTCAGACCTAACATTATCTAAAATATAGTCTGGGTCCTTGAAAATTGTGGTAGTATACTCTTAGGGTACATTCTGTCCATTTAGACGTCAAGATTTAAAGTTCTTTTACTTTGACAAATTGAAAGATTTTTCTTAAAATTCAATAAAATAATGCTTATCAAAGTAAAATTTAATACGGAGTATTTGTCAAAATAACAGAATTTTTAATCGTAACTGCCAAATAGACGAAACGCTCAGAGTACACTACAACAAATTTTAATGACTCCCGAAATTTATTTCAAATAATGTGAGACCTGAAAATTGATACCAGAAAGTCGAAAGTACCCCGAAGTATTTTTTAAATAATATGAGACCCAGTAGTTCTAAACAAAAAAATCGAAACTGCTTCAGAGTAATTTTCTAATAAAATATCCTTGAAAGTTAGACGTTTTTGAGGGCACAAAAAAACTAAGATATTTCCCTTTTTGTTCAAGACCATTATTCAATGATTTCAACATTTGGTAGCAGACTTTCATTTCTCCCACGCACACAACTATGAATATCAAGACATTTCTGGTTTTTCTCATCTCTTATGAGACAAGAAATTCACAGTCGTGCAGCAAAAATAGAAAGAATGAAAACCAATGATTAGAAAAACGGAATGGCCAAAAGCTGGTGGGAACAAAAGCGGAACATCTTCAACAAAAAAACAAGTAATGAACAATGACAATTGGACATTGAAATTTACAGCAATCGAGTCTCGGGTTGTAACATGTACAAAAATATTCCACCTGCAACTGAAGCGTTAAGAGACTCAAACTCGCCCGACATTGGAATGCTAACAAGCTCACAGACTTCCCTGGATTTCTCTGAAAGGCCGCTCCCTTCACTTCCCAAAACCAGACACAACGGCTGATGGGCCAAAGAATTGGCAAAGCCTTGATCAAGTCGAGCTGCCGTTTTTGACCTTCCATCATTTGCAGGATGCCCAGCTAGCATCTTCATCTTGAAGTTTTCTGAAAGCTTCTGCAATTGCATCCAACCACCAGAAAGTACAGGAAGCTGAAAGCAAGCTCCCCGGCTAGCTCGGAGTGCTTTCTCATTAAATGGATCACAGCATCCAGGAAGCAGAAACACACCATCCTGTTGAGAAAGTAAGAAGCTCTAGCTTCTTAGGTTTTTTTTCTAATTCAAGCAAGTATAAGAACAAAAGACGGGGAGAAATAGACAATTTATGGATCTAAAAGACCAGACGTAAAATGGAACGTAAATTACCCATTTAAATGCCAGCGCTGATCTAAGCAGTGTGCCAAGATTTCCTGGATCCTGCATCAACATTTATAGCATTATATAGATTATGAAGTGAAACAGGAATTCTAAATCGTAAGGGAAAAAAAATAAGGATATCTATTTCTCAGTGTTCCAGTACATGCAAGGAACTTTGATTTTTTTTTAAGATTTTATAAATTGAAATCTTTTTTCAATTTAATGGTAATTCAGTCCCGTATCTAACCTTAGGCTTTTAATTATAACCAAGTGAGCATAAGTATATGGGGATCTTTTAAGTTGGCCTCACATAAGGAGCTAATACCATTTCACAGTTATAAGCTTTACTATAAGAAATCAAATAGTTTATATGGGACATCAGGTAAACAATTGCAAGTCTTATGCTTATTTTGGTTGGAAAAATAAGGATTATGAATTTGGTGAGGTACTAAGACCTATGAAAGGACATATGTAAGCCGGTCCACTGTAAGATCTCTCCTAAAGCAAGAGGTGAATTAGGGATTATGATTTGTCCAACGCCAAGATTATATTGATCGCTAGTATTCAAAGTATTTGGAAGCAGATTTTAAAATGCCGGAAAATTGCTACATATCCTCTTCGCTTGCATCAGTGGTGCAGGAGATTGGAGAAGGATCGACCGAAGATTATCAAGGCTATCTGCTTGTGTAGCACAGCAGTTTTATTACTGGTATAAAAGGGAAGAAACAACATGATCTTTGAAGCTACTGAATACAGATAGCGATCCCAAAATTGCAAACAAGATATTATTGATAACCTAAAGGATGCATTTAGATTCTTGGCTCTCTGTTGTAAGAAAGGGGTTTGAGTGGGAAAAGTATGTTCTTGATTGTATTTAGCTATTTGTTTCCTTTTAAATTAGCTATCAGTATTTTTGGGTTGTTCTACAACAACCCTTAGTTTTGTACTTTCCTCCTAGTTGGGAGTGTGCTTAATAAGAAATTCCATGCCTGTTAGAGAAAAAGAAGAACCTGAATACCATCAAGAACAAGAATTCGATGTGCAAAGGGAAACCATGTACTACAATCTTCCTTTCTACAGTCATCACCAACATTGCAAAAACTTGAGGGAATCCTGAATAGAGCAATCATCCTGATAGAATCAATTGATTGCACACCCGAGAGTTTTTTCATCACCGTTGAGTTGACACAAACAACCCGGGCAGAACAAAAAGCTATCTCTTCAGCGATTTGAGTATCATCAAGTACAAGTAAGCATTCTATTTTGATATGCCTCCCTAGCACTTTTTCTTGAAATCTGCATATTTCCCTGTTGGAAGCAACACCATGATGTAATAGACATCAGCTGATATATATCATGCCAAATAAAATGAAAAAGTTAAAAACAAAAAGAGGGTAATAGTGAACCATTTCCCAGACAGTAAACTCCCGAAAGAATGAAAGGCATCATCTACCTTTTCAAGGTAGGGTAAGGTCTACGCACACCCACGACTAGACCGAATTTGTGAGATTTTACTGGGTCAGTTGTTTTTATGTTGGAATATAACAACAATAAAGCTAGAGTTACCCAAAAAGGTAACCCCAACCATGACCCCAAGCTTTGCACTGATCACAGAGACTGTTATTGTCGGTGTCGCACAGACAATAATAGCCTGTGTGGTGTGTGCAAAGCTTGGGGTCATGGTTGGGGTTATCCTTTTGGGGTTACCATAGCACGGTTCATATAACAATGCTCCTTGTAGAAAATCAAAGTTCCAAGAAATAAATACCCACAATATTAAATCTACATATTTAAGAGGTAAAAAAAATCAAAATTACATCTTTACAGCCACAATTCCAGATAGATCAGAAACTGGACTGCTCTGAAGTTTAAAGTTGCACATGAGATTAGGATGGAATTTGATTTACACTGTGATCAAGTGATGAACCTAAGTAATGAAGGGACGAGTTCAAAAGATTCGAGCCCAGAACATCATGGAAGCCAAATGTCACTCCACTCCTCTCTTTTTTTTTCAGTGGGTATTTCTTACAAACATCTAGACTACATTATTACTCAGTGAATTATGCCAAAACTGCCAACGATGGAGTAAACTTTCATCAGCACCTGTAATCAGTTTCGTTCACTCCAAACCTTTCCTGGTTTCAAAATGAAGTTCCGATTATGACCAAGAAAAGATACATACCGGATGGGAGTAGAGCCAACCACGACAACTACGCCATGGAGGAGGCGATAAGAGGAACTCGTGAGAAGTTTATAACAGTGCTTCACAAATGGGTTTGAAGTGCTTGAGATGGACGTGACATGGTGAGGTAAAGTAATAGTCTTCTGCAAAACCTTGGAACTTGAGGAGCAACAGCAGGATGGGTTTCTGGGTTTGAATTGGAAAGGCGATTGCTTGCTACCTGAAGTGGATGATAATGATGCGGGGCTCAGCGGTGCCGGAAGATTGGATGCCGGCGGCGTAAGAGCGCATTGCATCCTCGTCAGGAACTATTCGGGAAATTTTTGTTCACGCGCCTCTTGTGTAGATGAAATGAAAGTTTGGTTTGCCAATTGCTCCAAGGAGTGTTGCAGAACAAACTTTATTTCAACTTCTCTGATTTTGCAAGAAGTGCCTGATTCACTTGAGCAATTGGCGACCGGCGGCAGAACTCAGGCGACAGACTCAGGCGCTCAGTCAATAGGGGGATTAGGAGCAGAGCTCCTCAAACTAAAATACAAATTTTAATTACTTTATTTTACCAATTTTTGGTACCCTTTTGACAAAAAATAATATACTTATGTCACTTCTCCTTTTATATAAGTTTTAGTATAATTTTTAAATTTATATTGAGTAATTTGATTTATTAATTTTATATCAATATTTAAATAAATTAAATTGAAAATAATTTCAGTTAAATCTCGTAAATGATTTTTAAATTTCTTTTTAAATTAATTTTATAAATCTCTTAAAGTTTAAAAATTATTTTTGTTTGAAAAAAATTAACATATACTGTATCTGTACGTAAAAAAATGAATAAAATAAGAAATAAATTAAAACACAAAATAAAATGAATATTCTTTTTTGAAATCTTAATTCTAAGGACTCTTTAGATGTTTTGAAAAATTTCTTTTTATATAAGACTTTTTTTGCATATTTCAATTTTTCATTTTTTTATTTTTTTTTCTTTTAGGATTTACCAAAATAATTATTCTAGAAAAAAAAAGGTGAAAATGTTTAACCTGAGATAGATCGAATATATGTTATTTTTATTATTATTTTTATTTCAAATATAGAAAGTTTTTATTTTTTAAAATATTATAAAAAATTGAAAAGAAATTCAAAAAAAATTCTAGGAAATGGAAACAAATAGAAAAATTTAAAAAAAGAAAAAATAATAATAAACAAAAAATGAGAAATGAGCACGAGTGCACATATGGTTTAAAAAATAGACATCAATGCCCCTCTTAGTAGAAAATAACCAAAATATGATCGGATGAAGTATGGGTGCAAATGTAAAAAGTTGTGAAACCACAAGTATTTTAAAAATAAGTTTTGAAAACGGAAATGTTTTGAAACCAATTTTCTAAACTACACTAGCAGCTCATTTTTTCTATAATTTCTTCGGCATAAGACTTTAACAGTTTAACCGTCCGAACCATAGTTGTTACGGCGGCTAGACGAGGCTGGGCGTCAGAGCACCTTCCAATCGCCTAGGCGATTAGGCGCTCGCCTAGGCGTCCACTGGGCGAGTGGGTTATGGCAACCATAAAAATTTTATAGGTACTAATGTTAAAACATATAATATAAAATTTTATATATATATATATATATAAGCCTGCTCCAATAAAGGGAGCTTGGCCTATTAAATTTTGGGCCTTATAATCTTGTGTAGAGGTCCAATAGTCTTTTAATGAATCTAGCCCAGTTATTTGATCTGGTCTACTAGTCTAAATGATAAAGAGATAGAAGGACCTAGAGACTGGAGCCGCTGCAGAGAATGGAGGATCTGGAAGCCGCTGCAGACCGCGACAAATAATCGGCGAGAAAGATAAATCTTCATTCTATCTCCTCCTCCGTACGTCTTCTCTCTCTATCCCGCACGTTCCCTTGTGCTTCTAAAACGTAGATGCGTCTCCAAGATCGTCACTGAGTCGCCCAAAGGAAAAAAAGCTAGACGACCAATTAGGCGTCTGGGACGCCTAAGCTTCGCCTTGGCAACGCCTTGATAACTATGGTCCGAACTCATCACCCCATACTTAAACCAATTTTCTTTTATAATTTCTCAATTTAAAACTTTTGTTTGGGCGAGACTGCGAGAGGGATATAATTCAAACCTTCTTGGGTCAATTTGGCCAGGCCTGAAAGATGAAAAGGCCCACAAGAGTCCATGTGCCCTGATGTGCGGTCACAGAGGCCTGGTAGCCATTTCGCCATTCAAAACGGCTATTACAGCACAATATCTCGTCTTCAAAGTTCAAACGGTCGCCATATTGAAATTTGAACTCCTCTTTCCTTTATCAAAGAAAATGTACGCTACTCTTTGAACAGGTCCGCTAGATTCTTGATTTCAGCTCTCCTCTTCTACCTCTTCTCTCACTCTCCCTTATTCCATGTCTGCGAATCCCATGGATACCATTCGACCCGACCCGTTGGAGGAATGCCCCGAAGCCCATATCCCAGACCCACTTGTTTCCGATTGGGCAAAACCCTCGGGTCAAGAACTGGTCGGTGTAACGGCGACGGAGCAAGATGAAAACTTGGCGTTCTTCTCGGAATCTATGCTCTGTGATTCGGGCTCACGTTTTGTCCCTAGCGGGTTTAGAAAACCCTCTTGTACAGGTTCCTATAAATTTATGTTTCATTTTTAAAAATTGGGGCTTTTATTATTTCCCATGGTGTTCTTGTGAGATTCTTTTAGCTCAGATGATGTTTTATAAAATTTAATTGCGCATGTTTAATGAGAAATTCTAGAAGTGAAAAAAATCACCCTTCATAACAAAGGTTTGAATCAATGGTGTTTGGTTCTTATGTAATGTGCGAAAATGAAAGGAAATTTGATCAATAAAAACTGATTGAAAAAAACAATTGCAATCTGTTAGGGCTGTTAAGAAGAACCCAAGTATACTGACTTTGCAGTACTTTTTATTTTGCTGCTGCGTAGAAGCAGAGGATATTCTGTACTTCATTAATGCTGGTGCGGAGGCTTCCGTAGAATCCGAATCAAGTGTTAGCTTTGTGTCAGACCAATTCTTTGAAGGGGGGAATGCATTTCAAACAAAGGATTTTATTGCCGAGGGTGGAGATTTTCCCTTCTTATATCAGACCGCGCGATTAGGGGACTTTACTTACTATGTTACCAATCTTTTTCCTGGGGAATACTATGTTGACCTTCATTTTGTAGAGATTATAAACATTAATGGGCCAAAAGGGATGAGGGTTTTCAATGTGTTCCTTCAAGACGAAAAGGTAATTTGGTGTTGGAGCTATATAAACTTTATGTTAGCATTTGAGAATTTGAATTCATGTTAATTGTATATTTGTTAAGTGCAGGTACTTTCAGATTTCGACATCTTTTCTGTTGTTGGATCCAATAAACCTCTGCAATTAGTTGACTCTAGGGTTTCTATCAAAGATGACAAATTGCTTGTTATAAAGTTTGAGGGTGTTATTGGAACTCCCACAGTTAGTGGCATTTGTATCAGGAGAGCTCCAGATGTTACAGGTCACTACTCATTTTTTCATTAGTCATATTTCAATAAAAGGTGTCATCTGCAACTGAAAATAAAAGAATTATGAAAATAATTTCTGGAGATATATGTTTATTCAATCGCAGGCAATGGGGCAAAACAAGAACATCTTACTTGTACAAATTGTGCTGCAGAGATAAAATTTCCATCAGCTCAGGTATAATGAGCGACTTTAGTTTTTTGAAGTTTGTGTTTTCTTCTCTTAAGTTTTCCTGACTAAATTTTTTGGAGTTAATGCAGAAGAAAGCTATGCGATTGCAATCAACAGCCAAATTTGAGAAACAGATAGAAGATCTTAGTGAACAATTGCAGCGCAAGACAAAAGAATGCTACCAATCCTGGATATCTTGGTCTGCAGCTAATCGAGAGCTCGAGAAGGTTAGGATGGAACTTGACAATAAGACATTTCAGACATATTCCTTGGGTAAGGCACTATCATGTTTGTGTTTGTTCTTTAGTTTGAAAGTCACTTAAAGAATACCTACTATTGTCTTTAGGCTGTTTTTGAATACGGAGTACTATTTATTCCTGGATTCTGCATATTCTTATCGTGTTTCCTATTCAGATGTTTCACTCCTGTACTCATTATGTTTGGAACTTTGGAAAGCTTTAGTTGAGCTTTTCTCTGGGATCAAAGACCTAAGCTGACCTAAATTGAAAAGGAAAAAAAACACCTTTCTTTCATGGTATTTGTGCAGACCTTTGAACTAAAAAGAAGCTGATTTGGTTTATACTAAAAAGAAGCTGATTTGTTAGTTGTTTTTATGCTCGTCTGATTTCTGCATATGCTAGTTGGTTTAAAACGATTTGTTCTCTGGGCTCGTTCCATTGGTGTCATTCATCATTGAATTTCATTGATGCTAATTCATTTTGAAGGACATTCCAAGAAAAACTTACTTAAGCCACTTTTTCTCTTCTTTCTGCTTTTAAAAAATTGATTAGCATTTTTTTGAATTACCACCTTTTTTCTCTATACTTCTAGAAAAAGTGAAACCTTCTAAACATTAATTATATGTTATTCTAGTTGACAGAATTTCAAGAGATTTTCCCATATTGTAGATAAAACTTTGGAGAATCAGGCTTTGAAATTGACTGAGGTGTCAAATAAGTACGAGCATGATAAACAAGTATGGTGTGTGGCAATCAATGATCTACAACAAAAAGTAAAGGTATTCCACGGCTTCTATTGCAACATGCTGGATT